AGAATGGTGTGAACCCAGGAGGCGGAGCTTGCAGTGAGCTGAGATCGCGCCACTGCACTCCAGCCTGGGAGACAGAGCGAGACTCCGTCTTAAAAAAAAAAAAAATTTTTTTTATATGTCTTACTATATTGCCCAGTCTGGTCTTGAATTCCCAGCCTCAAACGATCCTCCTGCTTCAGCCTCCCAAAGTGCTAGGATAACAGGCATAAGCCACCGCGCCTTACAAGAGTGCACCATTTTAATTGGTTTTGTTATTATTCAGGTAAGGTAAGGCTAACATCAGAAAATAATTGTGACACTGGGCATGGTGGCTCATGCCTGTTATCCTAGCACTTTGAGAGGCCAAAGCAGGAAAATCGTTTGAGGCCAGCAGTTTGAGACCAGCCTGAACAACAGAGCAAGACCCTGTCTCTACAAAAAATTTTTTAATTGGCCAGGCGTAGTGGCTCACACCTATAGTTTTAGCTACTCAGGAGCCTGAGGTGGGAGGATCACTTGAGCACAGGAGTTTGAGGCTGCTGTGAGCCATGTTTGTGCCAGCGCACTCCAGCCTGGGTGACAGAGTGAGATTCTGTCTCAAAAAATAATAATAAGGCTGGGTGCAGTGGCTCATGCTTATAATCTCAGCACTTTGGGAGGCAGAGGTGGGGGGATCACTTGAGCTCAGGAATTCGAGACCAGCCTGGTCAACATGATGATAGCCCGTCTTTATGAAAAACACAAAAAATTAGCCAGGCTTGGTGGTGTGCTCCTGTAATCACAGCTACTAGGGAAGCTGAGGCGGAAGAATCGCTTGAACCTGGGAGGTGGAGGCTGCAGTGAGCTGAGGTTGCACTACAACCTGGGCGACAGAGTGAGACTCCGTCTCAAAACAAACAAACAAACAAACAAACAAAACATGGGAGGGGCTAGGTGGCCCGTGCCTGTAATCCCAGCACTTTGGGAGGCTGAGGTGGGTGGATCACAAGGTCAGGAGTTCAAGACCAGCCTGGCCAACATGGTGAAACCCTGTCTCTACTAAAAATACAAACAAAATTAGCTGGGCATGGTAGTGGGCACCTGTAATCCCAGCTACTCAGGAGGCTGAGGCAGGAGAATCACTTGAACCCGGGAGGCGGAGGTTGCAGTGAGCCAAGATCGTGCCATTGCACTCCAGTCTGGGTGACGAGAATGAGACTCTGTCTCAAAACAAACAAACAAACAAACATGGGGCACTTTTCCCCAGGACAGAACCATATCTGGGGACCCACATCCCGCAGAATACAGCTCAGGAGACTGTAAGTGTGGATCCTCCAGTGCCTGGAGCCCGAATCTGGAAGGAAAGGCCACTCCAGGCCTGGAGCCTCAGCTCTGATAGTCACCATCTGCCATCCAAGCATCTCCTCTTCATCGCCACCAAGAAGTGAATCAAGAGACTCTATCTTGACTGTCATGGAGATACCCTGAGGAGGTGTCAAGAATGGAGTGGGACCTGGGAAGGGGCTATATAGCCTCCCCAAGGGAATTCTGGAGGCTGTGAGTTAAAAAGAGGGCACTGTTTTTTGTCTTTTTTTTTTAGTCAGGGTCTCACTGTGTCGCCCAGGCTGAAGCGTAGTGGTATGATTTTAATTAATTTCTGCCTTCAACTGGGCTCAAGTGATCCTCCCACCTCAGCCTCCCCGAGGAGCTGGGACTACAAGTGTGAGCCACCACGCCCAGCTAATGTTTTTATTTTTTATTTTATTTTATTTTTTTGGAGATGGAGTCTCGCTATGTCACCCAGGCTGGAGTGCAGTGGCGCAATCTCGGCTCACTGCAACCTCTGCCTCCCGGGTTCACGCCATTCTCCTGCCTCAGCCTCCTGAGTAGCTGGGACTACAGGCGCCCACCACCGCGCCCGGCTAATTTTTTTTATTTGTTTAGTAGAGACAGGGTTTCACCGTGTTAGCCAGGATGGTCTTGATCTCCTGACCTTGTGATCCATCCGCCTCAGCCTCCCAAAGTGCTGGGATTACAGGCGTGAGCCACCGCGCCCGGCCTAATGTTTTTATTTTTACAGAGATGAGGCCTTGCTATGTTGGCCCAGGCTGGGGAGATCCCGACTTCCAGTGATCTGCCCGCCTCGGCCTCCCAAAGTGTTGGGATTACAGGCATGAGCCACTGCGCCTGGCCGCCCCATGTTTAAATAAGTTTGGGAAGTGCTGCCTGTTTCTGCAATACTGATTGGAGTGCTTATTACATCAAGGTGCTGAGCACAGAGACAGCTCTTTGAAACGTATCACACTTAATCCTCACCACAGCCCTGCTAAGTCATGGGTCACACCCCTCTTTTACAGATGGAAACACCAAGGCAGTCCAAAGGAAAGTGCTTATCCAGAGCCAGAGTCTGACAATGGCAGGCTTCATGAAAGACTCAGTTTTCCTCCACCCTCACTGTCCAGAACTCTGCCTGCAAAGGGCAGGACACAGCTGAATCATGGGGGCTGGGAGCACTTCTAAAACTTTGGGGTAAGGGAGCTGGGAAAAGGGAGGCGCTGTTCCAGGCATCCACCTGGTGCCCTGGCTAGAGAGGTCTGGTGGAGGGTCATGGGGTGGGGGCAGGAGACAGAAGTGGAGAGACAGAGACAGAGGGGAGGCAGTAAGCAGGATGGAAAGAGAAAGGATAATGAAAAGAGACATGGAGAAAAAAAGTCAAAGAAAGGATGAACACGGAGAGGCAAAAAAAACAATGTGAGGCCGGGAGCAGTGGCTTGCACCTATAATCCCACCACTTTGGGAGGCCAAGGCAAGAGGATCGCTTGACCCCAGGAGTTCAAGACCAGTCTAGGCAACATAAGGAGACTCCGTCTCTACAAAATTAAAAAAAAAAAATTTCAACAGGCATGGTGGCATGCACCTGTAGTCCCAGCTACTCAGGAAGCTGAAGTGGGAGGATTGCTTGAGCCAGGGAGGCCAAAGCTGCAGTGAGCTGTGATTGTGCCACTGCACTGCAGCCTGGGCAACAGAGTAAGACCCTGTTTCAAAAAAAAAAGAGAACAGAAAAGAAGAAAGGAAGGAAGGAAAAGAAAGAAAAAGAGAGAAAGAAAAAAGAAAGAGGGAAAGAAAGAAAGAAAGAAAGAAAGAAAGAAAGAGAGAAAGGAAGGGAAAGCAAGCCAGCCAGCCAGGCGCAGTGGCTCACACCTGTAATCCCAGCACTTTGGGAGGCCGAGGGGGGCGGATGACCTGAGGTCAGGAGTTCGAGACCAGCCTGACCAACATGGAGAAACCCTGTCTCTACTAAAAATACAAAATTAACTGTGTGTGGTGGCACATGCCTGTAATCCCAGCTGCTTGGGAGGCTAGGGCAGGAGAATCGCTTGAACCGGGGAGGCGGAGGTTGCGGTGAGCCAAGATTGCACCATTGTACTCCAGCCTGGGCAACAAGAGCAAAACTCCGTCAAAAAAAGAAAGGAAGGAAGGAAGGGAGGGAGGGAGAGAGGGAGGGAGGAAGAGAAAGGAAAAAAGGAAGAAAGGGAAAGGGGCGGGGGGAGAGGAGGGGAGAGGAGAGAGAATGTGAAATCTAGACAGAAAGAAAAAGAAGACAGAGAGGAGGGGAACAAGAAGGGGAGAGACTGGGAGAAGCAGACAAATGCAAAATACATGAAATGGCTGGGCGCGGTGGCTCATTCCTATAATCTCAGTACTGTGGGAGGCCAAGGCATGCGGATCACCTGAGGTCAGGATATCGTGACCAGCCTGACCTTCCTCATCTCTACTAAAAATATAAAAATTAGCCAGGCGTGGTGGCTGGCACCTGTAATACCAGCTACTCAGGAGGCTGAGGCAGGAGAATCGCTTGAACCCAAAAGGCAGAGGTTGCAGTGAGCCAAGATTGCACCACTGCACTCCAGCATGGCTGACAGAGCGAGACTCCTTCTCAAAAAAATAAAAATAAATAGGTCAGGCTTGGTGGCTCAGCACTTTGGAAGGCCAAGGTGGGCAGATTATTTGAGGTCAGGAGTTCGAGACCAACCTGACCAACATGGCGAAACCCCATCTTTATTAAAAATACAAAAAAAGGCCGGGCGCGGTGGCTCATGTCTGTAATCCCAGCACTTTGGGAGGCCGAGGCAGGTGGATCACGAGGTCAGGAGATCGAGACCATCCTGGCTAACATGGTGAAACCCCATCTCTACTGAAAATACAAAAAAAATTAGCTGGCCATGGTGGCGGGCAACTGTAGTCTCAGCTACTCAGGAGACTGAGGCAGGAGAATGGCATGAACCCAGGAGGCAGAGCTTGCAGTGAGCCGAGATCGCACCACTGCATTCCAGCCTGGGTGACAGAGTGAGAGTCCGTCTCAAAACAAACAAACAAACAAACAAAAAACTAGCCAGGTGTAGTGGTGCACACCTGTAGTCCCAGTTACTCGGGAGGCTGAGGCAGGAGAATCACTTGAACTCGGGAGGCGGAGGTTGCAGTGAGCCGAGACCGTGCCACTGCACTATAGCCTGGGTGACAGAGGGAGATTCCATCTCAAAAAAAAAAAAAAAAAACCAGTAATAATAATAATTAATGAGCATAATAAATAAATAAAAGACAGGAAATGACGGTGAGAGCCTGTGTGAGGGACTAGCTAATGGCGAGTGCTAACAAGGAGGTGCTTGTGACCTGCTATGGACCTGGAATTTGGGGGTAATGGAAATGTTCTGTATCTTCACTGTGGTGGTGGTTATATGAGAGTTGGCGAAATTTGAAAACACCAGAAAGGGTGAACTTTACTGTACTGTATGTAAATGACACTTCATCCAGCGGAGGTGGTTCACAACTGCAATCCCAGCACTTGTGGGAAGCTGGGGCAGGAGAATTGCTTGATCCCAGAAGTTCGAGACCAGCCTGGGCAACATAGGGAGACTCTCTCTAAAAAAAAACAATCAGTCCCAATGATGGCATTCCCCGCCTCAGGGAATGCCAGCGCCCACTTCTTCTGCCACCCCTCCCCCATGGGTCCCGTTAACGGATACAGGGAGGAAGGCATTTCCTGCCTAGATGTCTCCGCCCCCACTGCCATGGAGACCAGCTTGGAAGCTTAGGGGAGCTGCTGTGGCCCAGGGCTCAGTGGGGAGGACTAGGAGGCCAGGAGTCTTGGACTAGCTGCAGGGTTTGAACTAGGCTGAAGCAGCAGAACCACAGAGGTGGCTGAGCAGGGGTCTGGCCCTGGGGCCACCCAGCCACACTCACACACCCACTTCTCCCTCCAGAGCCCTGCCCTGAAGCAGGTCTCTGCTCCAGGCCTTTCCTTAGTTGGGGAATCGGGAGTTGGAGGATCAAAGTCCCCCATATCTCCCTCCCCCGCTGCAGCTATGTTTATCAAGGTGATGTTTGGGGGTAAGTGGGGTCCCCTGTCTTGGCAGGCGGGTGGGGGGATGAGCACACTCAGAAGCTGCTTCCATCCGCCCTTGGGGAGGGTGGGGAGGTAATGGCGGGAAAGATGGGAGTGGTGCAGATGGCAGGGGTCGGGGAAGCGGCTCTGTGAGGAGGCAAAGCGAGCACCTGGAGCAAGTCCCTTAAAGGGAAAACCCGAGCTGAGTCCTGCTCATTCACGAGGACTCCTCTCGGCCAGCGTCCGCCGCATCACCCTGGAGCAGGTTTTTAAACCGCACAATCTCTTCGCCATTCAATCCGTGATCCTCAAGCTTCAGCGTGCATCAGACACCTGAAACTCTAGCCACAGTTGCAGGTTCCCCGTCCGTCCGGCTGGAGGCGGGTCGGCCCTGTGCGGTGGTGGAGGGGAAGAGGGCAGTTGGTAGGGGAGGGAGTGCGGGGACGGGCTGGGTCCCGTGGGGGGGGCGGCCCGGGAGGAGGCTGGGCTGGCGCGCACTTCATGCTTTGCAGGACTCAAGAGACCAACACTTGGGGGTCACCCTATATGGGAGAAAAGTCAACACACACGGGAGATGGATGGAGGGGTCTCCAAGGAAGTTTAAGCAACAGATGTCGGAGCTGTTTTGCCTGGGGCACAGTCCTAGCCCCCTAGGCCCAGTCGCAGCTCTGGGAAAGGGAAAGATGGGAAGGAGAGACAGAGGACCCCAGATGTGGAGGAAGGTAAGAGATCCCACATGCTCACCTTTGCCCTTCCTCCACAGCCGGCTGCTCCGTGCTGGTGAACACCTCTTGCAGGCTGGTGAACCTCACCGCCCACCTGAGGCAGAAAGCAGGGTTGCCCCCAGATGGTGAGGAGACAGGGAGGAGAAGGAGGGGCTGAGGGGTCCCAGGCAGGGGTGCCAGCCCTGCCCAGCCTCTCTCCATGTCCTCTCAGCGACCATTGCTCTCCTGGCGGAGGACGGCAACCTAGTGAGCCTGGAGGAGGACCTGAAGGAAGGGGCTGCATGGACCCAAACCATGGGCAACTCCCTGCTGAAGGAGCGAGCCATATATGTCCTCGTTCGAACCATCAGTAAGGTGGCCCAAGCTTCTCTCCCCTGCAGCTATGTTAGAATGTAAGAGGGGAGCGTAGCAGACCATAGACCACCCAAGGCCCTGTCCAGCCTCCCACCTCAGCTGGGGACCTAGCCCCATTCCATCCCTACCCCATGCTCTGCCCCCAGCCTGGACTAGCAAACAGTTCCAGAGTGAGAGGCAGAGTAGGGACCATCAGGCCAGTCAGGTGTCCTTCATCCTCTCTCCACATGCCACAGAGGGAGAGGACATGGTCCCCACCCGCTATGAGTCCCTACTGGAGAACCTGGATGACCATTACCCAGAGCTGGCAGGTGAGTGTCAGGGTACAGCCCAGGGGGAGGGCACACCTTCTCCCTAGCCCCTACCAGCAGGACTTCCCGGGCCTTCCAGAGGAACTGCGCAGGCTGTCAGGCCTCTCCTCTGCGGGCCACAACTGGAGGAAGCGCATGGGCACCCGGCGTGGCCGCCATGAGCAAAGCCCCACTTCAAGGCCCAGAAAGGTGAGCTCCCTGCCACCCAGGAGTTGCTAGCTGGGACCGGGAGCCAGGTACGGAGGAGATATGGACACCCAGGGAGACACCCAGAGTGGGACCCCTTCCTGTGGGAGGGACACATACGATGAGAGGCAGACCCTCAACAGCAACTCCACGCACCTATACCCCCAGACGGAACACACTGTACCCTGAGACAGGTCCCCACCACCCCACTGGAATGCCAGCTCACTAAGGGCTGGAATGTCCTCAGGCTTCACAGATGTGGCATAGGGGCTGGCACACAGTAGCAGCTCAGTGCACAACTGCTGGACGAACTCAACGAAGGCGGCAGCATGGTGTGTGATGGCACGGCCCACACTGGGTTCGAAGGGCTTGTTCTTCCATTCTGGCAGGCCCGGGGACCTGGCACACTACTGCCAACTAGCCAAGTTGGACTCAGACCCAAGGGGGTTAGCCATGACCTCTGCCTTGTGTGATCAGGTGCAAACAGACAGCAACCCAGCACGACTCCTCTTGCAGAATCTGGAATTGCTGAGAAGTTGCATCAGCAAGAGGGGCAAGGTCAGACAGGATTTAAGGCTGCTGGGGGCACCTAAGCTGTGGGTGCAGAGAATGGGATGCGGAGGCAGAGACAAGAAGGGTAGAGGTGGCAGGTATCCCTGAGAAGGGGGAGAACCATGAGTTCATCCTGGCATTCCACCCTCAGAGTCAGATGCCCTTGGGATCACCTACTAATGCCTCTCCACCACACTCTAGACTGCCCAAGGTATCTGTCCTGTGCTAACCACAGTGCAGATTGCAACAGGGCTCCTCCTCCCCACCCAGGGCCCTGATTAAGGTGATGGATTGCACACTGTAGTGAGACATCCATCCTGACCCCACCTCATCAGCCAGGGAGCTCCCTGAAGACAGGCCATCGAGAGAGGCACACAACAGGCTGTGGTCTAAAATAAACTTTTAATTGCACATTTGTGTCTTAGGTTATCTGTGGGGTGAGAAACCTCCTCACTTCCAATCCCAGCTATCCGGGTACAATCTGGTGTTGTGGTCTGGCTGTCGGCGAGGGGTAGAGGTGGGTGCAGGACTGGCCCCCAAGTTTGCACCAACCTCTTCAGGGCAGTGAGCTCAGACCTGTGAAGGGAGGAGCAGCACAGGCTGGTGGTCAGCCTGCAGGTGCAAGAGGAGGGTAGGCCTCTCCCCATCCCCGCCTGGGTCGGGGTCCACCCACTCACCATGGTTGTACTTGCACTGCTTCAGGGCCTCGCTGAAGCCCTCACACAGGGACAGGTCACTCTGAGTGGTCGAACAGTCCAGGAACTGCCTGATCTCATAGGCGCAGGGCCCCATCTCCAGGTGCTGGGGGGCAGTGGGGGTGGGGACCTGGGGGTACAGTGCAAGAGGCTGCAGGATCAGCTTGGAGTTGGTACCTGGAGGTGCGTTTCAAAGCTGGGGCCACCTGCCCCTCCCCACATCCCCAGCCTGGGTGCCCCAAGGGTCCTAGGCAGGCTGAGTGACCCAGCAGTGGAGGCGGCTACAGACAGCGTGTTTCTGCTGCCTTCTTTTTCTTTCCTTTTTTTTTTTTTTTTTTGAGATGGAGTCTCACTCTGTCACCTAGAGCGGAGTGCAGTGGCATAGTCTCGGCTCACTGCAACCTCCGCCTCCTGGGTTCAAGCGGTTGTCCTGCCTCAGCCTCCCAAGTAGCTGGGACTACAGGTGCCTGCCACCATGCCCAACAAATGTTTGTATTTTTAGTAGAAACGGGGTTTCACTATGTTGGCCAGGCTGGTCTTGAACTCCTGACCTCATGATCCACCTGCCTTGGCCTCCCAAAGTGCTGGGATTACAGGCATGAGCCACTGCGCCTGGCCTCTGCTGCCTTCTAATGGGCACTTTGGGCGGGTGCAGGGGAGGGAGGAGAAGGCTCTAGAAGAGCCCAGTACTCTGCCTGGACTCTCAGAGTATGAGCCCCACCCCCACAAGTTTTAGCACCTTCCTGGCTCAGCTACACTAATCCTCATGACCCCTGACCTAGCCACAAAGCCACATTTGGCTTAGGGCTAGTGGGGTCCCCAGCAGGAGAAAGGTCATCAGGGAAGTGGCTCCCCTTCACCCTTGGGCCCAGCGGCCACAATGTGCAGACCTGGGTGCGGGGAAAACAGGGGCTCAGGAAATCCACCATCCCTCCACTCTGCTAGGGTGAGCTGACCTTGGACAAGTCTCTGAGCCCTCAGGGCCTGGGTTTCCCATCTTTAAAGGGTTGGTTGGTGTCTCTCCCTGGGAGCTTAGGGACCCTGGCCTCAAGGGAGGGGCTGGGAAGCCTGCCTCTAAGTGACACTGAACTCAAGACCAGTGGACTAGGACCCTTCCTGGGCAAAGAATCCTGGGCTGAAGCAATGGTGAGTACACGCGGACACTCCTCACTGGACACTTGGGCAGCTCCCTGTGTGGCCTTGAGAGAATCCTGCCTCAGTTTCTCTTGGACCCGATGCTCACCTGCTGGGCAGCAGGCTGGGAGGGCTCCGAGCTCCCCCCGCTGAAGGCTCCGGTCAGGGCGCTGCCCATGACGTGTCCCACAGCGGAGCCCACGGCTACCCCTGCGGCCGTGGTCGCCATCTGAGCCATGAGCCCCGGCTGGCCCGAAGGGGCGGGTGCTGGGGCGGCTGCTGAGGGCGGTGGGTGCGCGGGCGGGTGGGCAGAGGGCGCGGCGGGGCGGCTGCGGAGGTGGGAGGAAGCAGGGTTAATCCTGGCCAGACCCCAGGCTGGGGGTGCTGCAGCTCCTGGAAACGACCCCCATAGAGGTGGACGACCCCTGTCTCCACACGTGGGTGCTGCACCCCTGCCCCTCCCCCCGCCAAGATGGCGCAGCAGCAGCCAAGGTCACTCTGCGGACGCCCTTGGGGGAGTACCTACGCTTCCCTAACCCCCTCCCCACAGGCCCTTTGTCCCCCTCACACCTGGCTGGCCGGGAGGCCATGCTGCGGCTTCCCCGAGGCATGGTGGCGGCGGCGGGACCCGGGCGACCTTAGAGACGGCGGCAGCGGTTCTGTCGCGGGGACAAATGCCGCAGCGCTTGTCACAGCCGGCGCAAAAAAGGCGGGGCCCCGGGCGGGGCCTCAGGGACACGCCCCCAGGGGGAGGTGGCACTGCCCTCCAAGCCTGTCCCCCTTCACCCGTCCTCTGGACCTCTCCCTTCCAGCGGCTCCGGGTCTCGGCTGGAAATGGGACCTTGCTCCCTCCCTATGCTTGGCAGGCTGTGCGGGTTCTGGGGACACGGGCCTGCGTGGCAAAACGCCGAGGGCTTAAGGAGGGGGACGGTTCCTTCTGTTAGGAGCACCGCAGAGGGCAGGGAGCGGAGTTGGGGGTTGTTGCGAGCCCTGTAGGGGAGAGGAGACGGGGAGGCGACGGGCTGGGGCCAACCGGGAAGGGGACGCGAGGTTCCAGGCCTGGCTCTGCTCTTTGCCCCCTTCCGGGCTCGGCTGTCTGCCCCCTCCCACCAGACAGGGTCTGCTAACCACCGCGTGGCCTCGGGGTCTCGGGTGGCCTAGGGCAGTGAAGCGCGACCCTGGGGAAGGCTTAGAGCAACCCATCCCCAGAACTCCCACGAGGGGGCGTCCCAACCCGTCTTCGACTGCCTGGGCCAAAATGCGCTGCCAACGCCGGCAGCCTTAGGCAGCGCCCGCGGGGGATGAGATGAGGCCCCCAGCGCGGTCCTCAACCCCACCGGATTCCCCGGGCCGGCCCCGCCACCTAGTCCCCGGCTCCGCGGGTGCAGTCTCCGACACTGACGGCCTTTACGCGACATCCAGGCAGCGTGTCTATCCCAAAGGCCTAGGAGCATTTGCCCAGCTCAGTCAAATCTAGCGCAAGTTGAAGCCTGTAGCCTCGCAATTTTAGCAGCTTGGTTCCAGGCCAGGTGAGCTGGAGCGCGGATTTAGAACGTTTTCCTGCTCTTCGGGAACGTGAGGTTTATTTATTTATTTATTTATGACATGGAGCCTTGCTCTGTCGCCCAGGCTAGAGTGCAGTGGCGATCTCGGCTCACTGCATCCTCTGCCTCCCAGAATCAAGCAATTCTCCTGTCTCAGCCTCCTGAGTAGGTGGGACTACAGGCTCATGCCACCACACCTGGCTATTTTTGTATTTTTAGTAGAGACGGGGTTTCACCATGTTGGCCAAGCTGGTCTGGAACTCCTGACCTCGTGATTCGCCCGCCTCAGCCTCCCAAAGTGCTGGGATTACAGGCATGAGCCATCGCGCCCGGCTGAACTTGAGGTTTTTATGGTCTTTTCTGGGTGACTTTGCCGTGGTTGTTATTATTACTCCTAGGTGGGGGAAGGCAGGGACTGTCCCTCATCACTGTTCGCTGTGCCCACAGAGGACTCCTGGCACCGGGATTGTGGGCAGGGTGCAACACCAAGAACAAAAGCACCCAGAATTAGGGGTGTGGGTCACCAAGTAAGAGAGGGGGCCCCTCTGTAAGGAAGGAGGAGGTCGAGGGGCGAGGGGAGCGGTGGCTGGGGCGTTTGGCCCTGCCTGGCCTGCTCAGTTCTGTGTGTGCACAGTTGTCCCCGGCCATGCATGCTCTCCATGGAAGTCAGGTGCAGCCCTGTGTTCTCACACACTGCAGTCCTTTCAGCCAGCCTGTGAACAGAGCCCTTCCCCACCCCGTCTTCAGTTTCTCCTCTCTGAAGGGGGGTGACCACCCACTTTGAGGGTGGCCTCCCAGTGAGGTGAGCACACAAAGGGTGGGCCATTCTTTCCTGGCAGACTCACCAGGCCTGGTCCAGCCGCTACTCCCTTGCTCATGCAGTCCCTGCCACCTGGTTCCTGTTTGTCAAACCAAACAAACTGCACACTTCTCATGGTGGTCCCCTGGGCCTAAACTGTAGAGTTGTTCCTTCAGCTCCCATGGCTGATGGACTGCAGGTTCCACAAGGCATGGCCTTGCACCTCAGAGGCACCCAAGACCACTTAAGTGGGTTACACAAATGAAAATGAGGCTAAAAGGATAACATCGAAGCAGGCTTTGAAATGCCAACTTTTTTTTTTTTTTTTTTTTTTTGAGACGGAGTCTTGCTCTGTCCCTCAGGCTGGAGTGCTGTGGTGCGATCTCCAGTCACTGCAACTTCCGCCTCCTGGGTTCAAGCGATTCTCCTGCTTCAGCCTCCCAAGTAGCTGGGACCACAGGCGCATGCCACCATGCCCGGCTAATTTTTTGTTTTGTTGTTTTGTTTTGTTTTGTTTTGTTTGAGACGGAGTCTCATTCTGTTGCCAGGCTGGAGTGCAGTGGTGTGATCTCGGCTCACTGCAACCTCCACCTCCCAGGTTCAAGTGATTCTCCTGCCTCAGCCTCCCAAGTAGCTGGAACTACAGGTGAATGCCACCACGCCCAGCTATTTTTTTTGTATTTTTAGTAGAGATGGGGTTTCACCATGTTGACTAGGATGGTCTCGATCTCTTGACCTCATAATCCACCTGCCTCAGCCTCCCAAAGTGCTAGGATTACAGGCGTGAGCCACCACGCCCGGCCTGAAATGCCTACTTTTTAAAAATAAGGCACTTTAGCGGGGAACAGTGGCTCATGTCTATATCCCAGAACTTTGTGAGGCCCAGGCAGGCAGATTGCTTGAGTCCAGGAGTTCAAGACAAGCCTGGCCAACATGGTGAAACCCTGTCTCTACAAAAAATTCAAAAATTAGCAGGGCATAGTGATGCACACCTGTAGTCCCAACTACTTGGGAGGCTGAGGCAGGAGGATCGTTTGAGCCTGGAAGGTGGAGGTTTCAGTGAGCCAAGATCACACCATTGAGCAAGACCCTGTCTCAAAACAATAAAAATAAATAAAAGTGAATGACTTTAAAGAAAAGATTGTCTGCCAGGTGTGGTGGCTCATGCCTGTAATCCCAGCACTTTGGGAGGCTGAGGCGTGTGGATCACCTGAGGTCAAGAATTCAAGACCAGCCTGGCCAACATGGTGAAACCCCATCTCTACTAAAAATACAAAAATTAGCTGGGTGTGATGGTGGGCACCTGTAATCTCAGCTACACGGGAGGCTGAGGCTGGAGAATCACTTGAACCCAGGAGGCGGAGCTTGCAGTGAGCTGAGACCGCACCATTGCACTTCAGCCTGGGTTACTAGAATGAAACTCGGTCTCAAAAAAAAAAAAAGACTAGGTGCGGAGGCTCACACCTGTAATCCCAGCACTTTGGGAGGCCGAGGCGGGTGGATCACGAAGTTAGGAGACCGAGACCACGCTGGCTAACATGGTGAAACCCCCTCTCTACTATTAGCCGGGCATGGTGGTGGGCGCCTGTAGTCCCAGCTACTCAGGAGGCTAAGGCAGGAGAATGGCGTGAACCCAGGAGGCGGAGGTTGCATCAGGTTGCATCACTGCACTCCAGCCTGGGCGACAGAGTGAGACTCCGTCTCAAAAAAAAAAAAAAAAAAAAGAGAAAGAAAAGATTATGAACTGTCTAGGTTGTAAAAATCACTGCTGTCTTACTTCTCCTTGCCCTCTAGGAGTCTCTGTGGAGTCTTCTTGAATAAGCTGTGAAACGTTTCCCCACCCGCTTCCCTTTCTTGGCCCAGGCTTCCTGACCACAGCTTCACCTTAGAGCAGCTCAGAGCGCTGCCTGCCAGGATGGGAGCCACTGCCTGGATTGTGGCTCTGCAGGGCCACCCATGATGGAACAGGTCGCCTGGTGAGGTGGTGAGGCCCTTCATCATTTCAGGGGGTGTACAGCAGGATTGGGTAACCCCAAAAATCAGGGATAAGACTGGAGGATCCCTTCCAGAATGTGGACACACCCCCTTCTTTAAGTCTAACCTCCTTTCTTTTTTTTTTTTTTTTTGAGATGGAGTTTCACTCTGTTGCCCACGCTGGAGTGCAATGGCACAATCTCGGCTTACCGCAACCTCCGCCTCCCGGGTTCAAGTGATTCTCCTGCCTCAGCCTCCTGAATAGCTGGGTTTACAGGCATGTGCCACCATGGCTGGCTAATTTTTGTATTTTTAGTAGAGATAGGGTTTCACCACGTTAGTCAGGCTGGTCTCCAACTCCTGACCTTGTGATCCACCTGCCTCAGCCTCCCAAAGTGCTGGGATTACAGGTGTGACTCACTGTGCCCCGGCCTCTCACCTCCTTTCTTTCAAGTCTCAGGTGGCTAGCCTGGAGGAGTCCCCAGGGGCTTGTTGGGCCTTGACCAGGGGACACCCTGGGGGCCCAGTACTACACTCATACACCTCCCGCATCCTTCTGACAGCACCCTCCCCCCAGCTGACCAGCTAGAGGACCTCCTGACCCCTCCACTTGTCTGCTGGCATGGAAAAGCCCGGCCCCTCCCTCTTAGAGCCTCAGTTTCCCTATCTGTAAGCTTTGGTCTATCCCAAGCTGAAGGACTGGCCAGTCCCTGCCATTTGCCTCACTTTCCCCTGGGACACATTTTAATATCCCATTCCTGACCAGGTGCAATGGCTCACTCATGTAATCCCAAGCACTTTGGGAGGCCAAGGCGGGCAGATCACTTGAGGTCAGGAGTTCGAGACCAGCCTGGCAAACATGGAGAAACCCCATCTCTACTAAAAATACGAAAATTAGCCAAGCACGGTGGCACACGTCTGTGGTCCCAGTTACTTGGGAGGCTGAGGCAGGAGAATCGTTTGAACCTGGGAGGCGGAGGTTGCAGTGAGTGGAGATCAAGTCCCTGCACTCCTGCCTGGGAGAGACAGAAACACTGTGTCTCAAAAGAAAATAATAATAATAAATAAAATAATATCCCTTTCCTCAGAGGGGCTATTGTGTCATCTTCTAGAAGGATCCATCGAAGCTCTGAGGGGTGGGGGAACTTGCTTGTGGGTGGGACCACCTGTCACAAGCTAGCAGAGGTCAGAGGTCAGGCCACCAAGGATACCCAGCGGGATCGCCTTCCAAAGGTGGGGGTACGGATGGGACCCATGAAACCCGACTCCTCTCAGACTCTAGCCAAGTCTAAGACTTTGGACGGCCACCACCCAGCGGAGAAACTGAGGCTCAGAGCGGCACGGGTTGGCCAGGGTCACCCAGCACCAGACAGGGACTTGGCCAGCCCCGAGGAAAGACCCTGTCTCCGACCCTCGACCCCGCTGGGCCGTCCCCTCCCCGTTCACCTCCCCCACCCGGGCCGCGCTGGCTAGGAGAGTTCAGAACAAAAGGCGGTGGGGGGCGGGGCCGGGGCGGGCCGGGGGTGGGGCGGAAGCTATAAGGGGCGGCGGCCCGGCGCGGCCCAGCAAGCCCAGCAGCCCCGGGGCGGATGGCTCCGGCCGCCTGGCTCCGCAGCGCGGCCCCGCGCGCCCTCCTGCTCCCGATGCTGCTGCTGCTGCTCCAGCCGCCGCCGCTGCTGGCCCGGGCTCTGCCGCCGGTGAGTGCCCGCCACTCGCCGGGCGCTCCTCGCCGAAGGGGCTCCGGGCACGCTGGCTGGGCCCAGCGGCAGATCCGGACCCGGGGGCGCCCGGGGTGGCCTCCTGCGCCTGGTACCCGAAACGGTTTCTGGTTCCCTCTAGGCGTGATAGACAGCGAGCTTCCAGTCCCTGCGGGCGTGAAGGGGAGCCGGCGCCGGCATCGCTCGTGCTGGTGGGACGGAACTCCACGCTGGACTCAGGCTTGCTCCCAGCGTGGGGACCTGCCTCTCGCGCTCCAGCAGCGGGTGCTGGAGTGTGCGTTGAAGGAAGTAGCAGAGGGAGTGGTTACAGGGCCCCCTGTTCATCGCAGGGACAAAGCCGAGCAGATCCCAGGCAGGTGTCAGCCTGCAGGTGTGTGGCCGCAGTTAGTACACCTCCAGGTGTGCGGTGCGATGAGGATAAAGGGAGAGCTGGGGAGGGCAGCGCTGTGCTGCGGGAAATGGGGTCTGAGCCTGGAGATGTCCCTCGCGGGCACCTGCCGGCAGCAGCTTCGGGAGGCTTGGAGCCAGGAGAACATGAGTATGAAATAGTATGAGTGCAGTGTGTGTGACTGAGAGGTGGCTGTCAGAAAGAAGCAGGGAGAGAAAGGAAAGGGAGAATTTATGTGCTCAGGAAAGGAGAAGAAAGCCCAGGTAAGAGAGGACGGCAGAGTGAGGAGAGGAGGGACTGTCATGGAAGTGTGTGTGACAGCTTGCATGTGTCCCAAAAACTGACCCTTCCCTGGGGCACTTCCAGGCACCAGTCACACGGCCTGGGGCCAGAGCCTGGGCCACTGTGGGTCCACAGCTCCCTGGGTGCCTGGGCCACTCCACTCCACAGCGGAGGCATCCAGACAGCTCGGGCAGGGAAGGGAGCAGGAGAGGGTGACAGGCAGGAGTCTCAGGACTGGCTTGGTGAGGAGGGAGGCCTGGCCAGGCTAGGAACCTCTGTCCAGCCACTCTGGCTCTGCCCTGGGCAGCCTTGTCCTGTGCTGGCTATGGGAGCAGAAAGGGATGGGATGGGAGCGGTAGAGCGCACAGGGGGCATCTCAGTCTGGAGTCTTGCCTCCTTCCCAGCCCCTCTTGGTCCCTAGGACTTGGGACAGAGTCAGGAATCACTGTGGGTAGCCATTGAACCCATAGGTCTGGAAACTGGAGAGATCTGGGTTTGAACCATGCAACCCTGGGTGAATCCTGCCATGCCTCAGAATCTTACCTACTCTATCTCTAGGGGGTGGGAGGGGGCAATGGTGCCTACTGCTGTGCCCACTGCTGAGCAATGAGGTGATGCCAGGCTCACTAGAAACACTGTTACCTGTAGCTGCCACTTTGACACTTGTGCATGGTCAATGCTGGAGCTGGGGGCCAGCTTGGGGTGGGGTCTGAGCTGGACTGTGGTCTGTCATTCTGCAAACACGCAGGGAGCATTTGGGGTCACCTGTGATGTGTTTATCCCTAGGCTGCCTTCAGCAGGGCTGGGAGAACTCTGTAAATATTTATCCAGCCCAGTTCCCAGTTTTCAGGGTTGATGGAAGCCCTGCAGTCCGATGGACGGGATGAAGCTACCGTCCCTCCTAGAGCCAGCAGCAGAGGGGTGAGAATAGGAAAATTAGGTGAAGGCTTGAGGGAGAAGATATCCCTGCTTGCCAACTGGCTGTGCGGGTTGGGCAGGTTGCTTGACCTCTCTGAGCCTCAGAGGGTCATGATGATACCTGCATGGTGATGCTCCCGTCTTCCTCCATAGCCTAACAAGTGCCTTCCTCGAAGGCTCACCTCCCACTGACATCAGAAGGCATAGCTATAATTAATTATACCCACTAGACCGACTGCAAACTGAGGCCCAGAAAGGGGCACAATGAGCCCGATCTTCCGCAGTGGTTTCCTGGCACCCTGGGGTCCTCCCTTTCTCCCCTCTATCTGGTGCCTCCCATTTTCTGGATTGCAAGTTGACTCCGGGGCGGGGGTGACTCTGAGTCTGTAAGCTCTGCCAGGACACTAGGTCAGCTGAGAAATTCCTTGAATGTGTCTGAGGCTGAGGTTTGGTGCCTGCCAGAGGAGGGCGGGGCTAAGTGAGCTAAGAACCCACCACAGGGCAGGCCAAGGGAGGCTACTGGCCAAGACAGAGGGAATGCACTGGAAGCAGGAATGCTTCTTGGGAAAGTAGGTTTTGGAGAAAAGCCAAGAGATGGAGAGACAGGGGGAAGCCCTGGATGTGGGAGGCTTGAGCCCCAGGTCTAGGCCCAGCTCTTGCATGACTTGCTGTGTGATCCCAGGCAAAGTCCTTAACCTCTCTGGGCTCTGTCTCATCTCATCCTCTGGGAAATGGGGGAGCTGTTTGTTCCTCAAATTCCCCAGGGGTGTAGTTGAGGCCAGGGGTAGCCTGTGTCTATCACCTCACCTCACTGAATCCCAAGAGTCCTGGGAAGGCCAAGCCCACCTGTCTCACAAGTAGCAAGCTGCTTGATGCCACGCCTTGTAGTTAGGGCATCTGGCCCCAGGCCAGAAAGGACTCGGAAAGATGAAGTGTGGGAGGACAGTGAGGCAGAGAGTGTGTGTCCTATCCCAGCCATGGGGAAACTGAGGCCAAGAGCTCATGGGCTCTAAAAACAACCTCACTAGCTGGAGGCCTCATTTCTAGCATCTCCTGCTCACTCACTTTCTAAGAATTTAATGAACGAGACATGGACAGGGAGAAGAGACCTTGATATGCCGGAAGACCCCGCACAAGGCGCTTCTCTTTTCTAGGTCTGAAAGTTGCCTTCTAGCTGTGGCTTCTATTTTACCATTTGAAGCCTGGAGATTTGGTTGGGAAGCTAGAGGGGAGGTGGGTGATGGGAGCTGTAGGGACTGGCAAGGGCAGATTCCCAAGGGAGGGGAGGGCCTACAGGGACAAGGAACAGGGCCAGGTAAGAGGTGCTTCTCTGTGCCAGAGGCTACAGCAGGCATTACAGAAGGATGTCATGTAGCCCTTTGCTGTGGCACCATCCCCATTTGACAGATAGAAAAGTTAAGGCTAAGAGAGGAAGATGACTTGTCTAGAGTCTCCATGTCATAGAACTAGGCCTTCTGAACCTCAATGACTGGCTTTTTTTGCTACACTAAGATTGTCATGATCCAGGGGTTTGGGCATGGACTGGGTGCCTCATAAGGGAAGGACAGGAAAGGACAGTGGAAGGGGTGGGGCATGCCCATGGCTCTCCCTCTATGGCTGTCTGCACCAGGACTCACTGGAGGGCAGAGGAAGAGATTTCTGGCCATGGGCATAGATAGAGCTAGCAGGCTAGGCTCTGGGTTGTTTGGAGCTCCCAGGGGACAGCACAGCTCTGCCCTTTCCAGAGAGGGTCTTCATACCCCTGCCAGGCTGGGGAAAGGAATCTGTTTCTCCTGTAGGTCAAGGAGGCAGTGTGGCCAGGAGGAGGAGGCAGGCCCCTCTGGCAGCCCACATCCTCCATGGGAGAACTTGGACATGTAGCATCTCCACCTTCCTGGTGGGTATTGGAAGCCCAACGAACCTGCCTGCAAAATGCCCGGGAAATAGCAGGCGCTGAATAATTTGAGTTCCTTCTCTTCTGTCACCAAGGTGAGGCTAGCCTGGGTCCCTCCTTCAGGGGAAGGGTGACTCAACCCCTGCAGAACAGAGGTAGCAGGGAGCTGGGTGGGCTGTGAGCACAGACAGTCCTCTGCCTGCCAGCTCTTATCTGAGCAAGCCGCTTAACTCCTCCAGGGCGCATTTCCTCATCTTGGAAATGAGGGTGATGATGGTGGAGTTGGTGAGAGGTTCCATCAGGGGCTAAGAGCAAGTCCATGGAGTGTTGCCAAGGTCGTAACCTGCAACCAGTGATAAGTACTTATTAACAGTAAGCCCAGGCTGGGTGCGGTGGCTCACGCCTGCAATCCCAGTACTTTGGGAGGCCGAGGAGGGTGGATCATGAGGTCAGGAGTTCAAGACCAGCCTGGCCAAGATGGTGAAACGTTATCTCTATTAAAAATACAAAAATTGGGCCGGGCGCGGTGGCTCAAGCCTGTAATCCCAGCACTTTGGGAGGCCGAGACGGGCGGATCACGAGGTCAGGAGATCGAGACCATCCTGGCTAACCCGGTGAAACCCCGTCTCTACTAAAAATATACAAAAAACTAGCCGGGCAAGGTGGCGGGCGCCTGTAGTCCCAGCTACTTGGGAGGCTGAGGCAGGAGAATGGCGTGAACCCGGGAGGCGGAGCTTGCAGTGAGCTGAGATCTGGCCACTGCACTCCAGCCTGGGCGACAGAGCGAGACTCCGTCTCAAAAAAAAAAATACAAAAATTAGCCAGGTGTGAGGCCAGGTGCGGTGGCTCACGCCTGTAATCCCAGCACTTTGGGAGGCCGAGGCAGGCGGATCACGAGGTCAGGAGATCGAGACCATCCTGGCTAACAAGGTGAAACCCCGTCTCTACTGAAAATACAAAAAAATTAGCCAGGCGTGGCAGCATGTGCCTGTAGTCCCAGCTAGTCGAGAGGCTGAGGCAGGAGAATGGAGTGAACCTGGGAGACGGAGCTTGTGGTGAGCCAAGATCATGCCACTGCACTCCAGCCTGGGCAACAGAGTGAGACTCTGTCTCAAAAAAAAAAAAAAAATTAGCCAGGCGTGGTGGTGGGCACCTGTAATCCCAGCTACTCGGAAGGCTGAGGCAGAGAACTGCTTGAACCCGGGAGGTGGAGGTTGTAGTGAGCCGAGATCGCGCCACTGCACTCCAGCCTGGGCAACAGAGCGAGACTCCGTCTCAAGAAAACAAAACGAAAAACCAATAAGCCCAGAATCGGCCAGAACCCACAACCCAGTGAGGCTGCGCTGTGCCAGGTAACCATGCAATAAGCAAGCTCGGAAACGGGAGGAAGCTGCTGCACAGCCTCACACCATTCCATAGCCTCTGTGTTCAGAAGGCCCCCCTTCATGGTGGGGTGTTCTTGACTCCTCAGCTCTGGGATCAGGAGCAGGGAGCGTCGGGACGCTGATCAGATCCCTGGGGTGTCTGGAGCCTGGGAGAGCTGCCAAAGGCTGAGGGTGAGGTGGGGCCTGAGTGGCTGAGCTCCTGCCCCAAATATGGCTGTGAAGAGGCTGCAGTTGCCGGGACCAGACAGGTGCTGAGTCTCTCAGCAAACAGCACAGCTCCATCCCTCTCCTTCAGTGCAGGAAGGAGACTTGGCTTCTGTGCGGTATCCAGAACCAGGCCTTAGCCTTAGCCCTGGGCTGCCAGGGTCCTGGCCTGGCCTTGCCTTGCCCTTGCTGGGTGACTTTGCATGGTCCCCAACCTCTCTGAGCTTCTGTTTTTCTCATGCACAAGAACTGTAACATCTGCCCTGGAGACTTATAGACGGGTAGCAGGATGTAGCTCAGGTCTGAATAGCCATCTGTTGTCCTGGGGCTTTGGCGAGTGGGGCTGGGCCCCTGGTAATTAACTGTCCCCACCCTCCCCGCTTGAAGAAGGCAGGCAGATCACAGATCAGCTCCCACCTTACTCCTATCCCTGGTGGGGTGTGACCAAAACTGCCTCTGCTAGAAGCCAGGCCTCAGTGGCCAGGTGCCCTCCCGTGTGCTGGGCCTGTGCTAGGTGCTGTACGTACCTCACCTTGTCCAGTCCACAAATCAGTGTCACCCCCAGCAGTCAGATTACACTGACTGAGGCCACACTACAGGGCTACAGCCGCTCCACACTGGGGAGGAGGTGGGGGAAATCCTGGGCAGGAGAGAGGGCAGAGCCTGCTCACAGGACAGGGACAGCATGGGGGGTGACCCAGGTGTGTCTGAACTTAGTGGACACAGGAAGAAAGGGAGGTGGAAGTGAATTTCTGTGGGGAGCAGGCGGAGGTTGCCTCGTGTTCCCTTGGAGGAAGATTTTTGGGATCCATTCCTGGAGTGTATGGCTCATAGCCAGTCCCAGTGTGCCCCCACCCCCAGACCTCATTGGCCTAAGTAGCTGGAGTGGGTGACAGGCAGCCCAGGGCCCTCTATGCTGTGGGGGACAGCTTGATGCCTTGGAACAAGGTGTCAGGAAACCAGAGAGCCAGGCCGATGCCAAAGGGCCTGGCCACGTGCTGGTGCCCTTTTCCTCCCATTTGCCCTGCCACACAGTGGGCTGGGGTTGCATGTGGGTTTGCTGATGGGCCACGCCTCTAACTGTGGGCCATGTGGACCTTAGGCCTGACCAGACCCTCGTGTCATCTCTCCTGCCTAGGACACCCACCACCGCCATGCCGAGAGGAGGGGGCCACAGCCCTGGCGTGCAGCCCTGCTCAGTAGCCCGGCGCCTGCCCCTGCCACGCAGGAGGCCCCCCGGCCTGCCAGTGGCCTTAGGCCTCCCCGCTGTGGCGTGCCTGACCCACCTGATGGGCTGAGTGCCCGCAACCGACAGAAGAGGTTCGTGCTGTCTGGCGGGCGCTGGGAGAAGACGGATCTCACCTACAGGTAGGGGCCTGGGAGCAGGACACTAGAAAGCCACCTGTGTGTCCGTGGGTAAGCCAGCCTCCCTCACAGCTGCGGCTTGAGACACAGGCCAGGGGTAGATCTTTGTGTCTAACAGCCCTGTGTGCCCGCTGAACCCCAGGGGGCCATCTATGGGCAAACACCCTGAAACCCCGACTTAGACACACACACATATGGAGACCCTCCCTCAGCAGAGGGGCAGTGCCTCTGTCATCATGCAAAGAGTCCCAGCACATGCCTGCGGACAGGTGTTCAGTCACTCAGGCAGCCTTTACTAGAGACCTGTGAGGACCAGGCTCTGGGACTGCATGGTGAATGAGGCAGACATAGCCCCATCCTCAGTCTGAGGTGGGTGTCAGCCATGTCATTGTCCAACTCTACCATCACAACTTGGGCTTTGAGCAGGTGGAGACAGTGGTAAGCAGGGAGAGGCAATAGTGGGCATCTCACTGGGTGACCTGGGAGGACCCTGGGCAGGTGATGGGGAAGCTGGGACTCACACATCCTGCGGGCGGGGACCCAGCCTGGGAATGAAGAATGGGCTGGTGTCACACAGCATTGGAGCTGAGACTGGGGTCTTCAGAATTTCCTAAGTGGGGGTCTGGGAACCAACAGGGGCTCAAGGAACAAAGGTCTCCCCACAGTGAGTGGCACTGTCAGGTCTAGGATGGGGGTCTCGGGACCCCTAGTCCTGGTTCTTTCCACTGAATGCAGACACTTGTGTTTGCCTAAGTATGAGCAAACCACATACACATGTGCCTGTGTGGCCAGGGAGACCAGTGCGCTGAAGCTGAGGCCCAGAGCACACTTGGCCTGTGTCCTCAGTGTTCACACACCCACCAAGCATCCAGGGGCAACTCCTGGTGCCGCAGCCATCGGGGGCTGGCCCTTCCCTGAGGCCCAGGCCCCTCCCTCTCCCTCCAGGATCCTTCGGTTCCCATGGCAGCTGGTGCAGGAGCAGGTGCGGCAGACGATGGCAGAGGCCTTAAAGGTATGGAGTGATGTGACACCACTCACCTTCACTGAGGTGCACGAGGGCCATGCTGACATCATGATCGACTTCGCCAGGTGAATGGGTGGCCTGGGACCCCTCCGGGAACAGCCTCACCTGCCAGCAGCCACTGACCCCGCCCCCACCCATCTGTAGGTACTGGCATGGGGACGACCTGCCGTTTGATGGGCCTGGGGGCATCCTGGCCCATGCCTTCTTCCCTAAGACTCACCGAGAAGGGGATGTCCACTTCGACTATGATGAGACCTGGACTATCGGGGATGACCAGGGTATGGGCTGGGGACCCATTTTCCAGATGGGGCAACTGAAGATCATAAAGAATGGGGACTCGCCAAGGTCACTGAGCTGGGGTCTGGAGCTGGATGTCCTGGGCAGGAGGTTCGGGGGTTGCTGAGCCACCTCCCTTTTCCAGGCACAGACCTGCTGCAGGTGGCAGCCCATGAATTTGGCCACGTACTGGGGCTGCAGCACACAACAGCCGCCAAGGCCCTGATGTCTGCCTTCTACACCTTCCGCTACCCGCTGAGTCTCAGCCCAGATGACCGCAGGGGCATTCAACACCTATATGGCCAGCCCCGGCCCACTGTTACCTCCAGGACCCCAGCCCTGGGCCCCCAGGCTGGGATAGACACCAATGAGATTGCACCGCTGGAGGTGAGGCCCTGCCCGCCAGTCCCCCTGCTCCTCTGCTGGCCGCTGTGGCTGCAACGTATGCCCTCGGCATGTGTCCCTCTCTCCCCCCACAGCCGGATGCCCCACCAGATGCCTGCGAGGCCTCCTTTGACGCGGTCTCCACCATCCGAGGCGAGCTCTTTTTCTTCAAAGCAGGCTTTGTGTGGCGCCTGCGTGGGGGCCAGCTGCAACCCGGCTACCCAGCACTGGCCTCTCGCCACTGGCAGGGATTGCCCAGCCCTGTGGACGCTGCCTTTGAGGATGCCCGAGGCCACATTTGGTTCTTCCAAGGTGAGGGAGGGTTGGGGATATGCTCAAGAGACTTCCCAGAGCCAGGAATGTTATGGCCAAAGGCAGGAACAGACAGACGGATCCTCAGGGACACAGTGGACAGGGAGAGGTGCCCCAAAGCCTGGGGGCCAAGGACGAGAGTGTGGTTTGCTCCTCAGGCACAGGTAGGAGGCTCCCGGAGATGGCTCTTGAGATAGGAGCAGCATGGAAGGGATTGCACGGTGGGGCATTCAACTCTCATAGCCACCCCATGGGGCAGGGTTCTAGAGATGCGGCCTCTGGGGCTCCCAGGCAGTGAAGTGACTCACCAAGAGTGTAGCTGGGAAGAGGCAGGGCAGGGAATTGATCCAGGTCTGTCATCCTAGAGCTGGGATTTCCATCTTCAACTGGCAGAGATGAGAGCCTGGAGCATTGCAGATGCCAGGGACTTCACAAATGAAGGCACAGCATGGGAAACCTGCATGGGTTCCAGGGCAGCCCACCCTGCAGGGGCCCAGGGAGTGGTCAGCAGGCATTTGTCATGGCCAAATGCCAGTGGAAGGAGCAGGCGCCCAGACAGCCCTCCACTGATGAGAGTAACCTCGCCCATGCGCTAGTTTACAGAGCATTCACTGCCCCAGCTTATCCCAGGCCTCCCACTTCTCTCTGCGGATGGGGTGCTGAGCAGGCATTATTGGCCTGCATGTTTTACTAATGAGGAAACTGTGGCTGGGAGAGTCTGTGGTGGGAGTCAAGCAGGTCCACGGTGGCTGGGCATGGCAGTGGTGGCTGGGCAGGTCCTTGCAGCCTCTTCCCTCTCCGGCAGGTGCTCAGTACTGGGTGTATGACGGTGAAAAGCCAGTCCTGGGCCCCGCACCCCTCACTGAGCTGGGCCTGGTGAGGTTCCCGGTCCATGCCGCCTTGGTCTGGGGTCCTGAGAAGAACAAGATCTACTTCTTCCGAGGCAGGGACTACTGGCGTTTCCACCCCAGCACCCGGCGTGTAGACAGTCCCGTGCCCCGCAGGGCCACTGACTGGCGAGGGGTGCCCTCTGAGATCGACGCTGCCTTCCAGGATGCTGATGGTGCGTTGGGGATGGGGTAGCTGGTAGGAGGTGGGCACAGCAGCCGCATCTCCAACCTGGTGGTGGCTGGGCTCCTACATGCCTGCAACAGGAAGCCTGGCTCTTCATCACAGGACCTTTGCCCAGCGCCATCTGCCCTCCTCTCGGTGGCCAGCTAGTGCTGCATTCCATGTTGCAGATGAGCAGACTGAGGGTCAGAGAAGTGCAAGGTCTTACCCTGGTTCCTCAGCCACAGCCAGTAGAACAATAATCTGCCGTACACTGAGGGCCAACAATGCTCTAAGCTCCTTACTGGTCTCATCCAGTTCTCAGAACAGCCCCCTGATGTAACACCTGTTGTGAACCCAGTTTCCAGAGGAGCAAACAGAGGCTCAGGCAATGAGGCCCCTAACCTCAACTTCTACCCTGATGGTCCCTGCTCCTAACCACTGACCCACCCAGCCTCTCACAACCACAGAGGGCTAGAGCCAGTCCAGTGCTCCCTCCCCTGCTGGGCTCCTCTTCTGTGTTCTTTCTCCCACATCAGGACCCACTGGGACAGCTATCCTAGGATAGCCTCCAGCTCCAGGACTCCGGATGCCCGTCAACAGCCTGGTTAATGGGCGCAGGAGAGAGTGATGTGGAGGGTGGTAGGGGCAATGGGACTTGCTTTCCTGAGAGGTGGGACTCAGGCCTCTGAGGCTATGGGTACCTGTCAGGCTGGGTATTAGCCCAGCCCAGATTCCGCGGCAGGCAGAAGGGCTCCCTAGAGGGAAGAGAGGTTCCAAAAGGCTGGCCCTGGATCCTGCAGGACTCGAGGAACTCAACAGTGGCCAAGGGCTGCTCACCCAGCCCTCCCTTAGTGCCCATCCCTGGGCATAGCCTGACAGGCAGGAGTAGGGCCCAGTGTCCACTCGCCTAGGCTTGACCACCTTCTCTTCTCAGGTTATGCCTACTTCCTGCGCGGCCGCCTCTACTGGAAGTTTGACCCTGTGAAGGTGAAGGCTCTGGAAGGCTTCCCCCGTCTCGTGGGTCCCGACTTCTTCGGCTGTGCCGAGCCTGCCAACACTTTCCTCTGACCATGGCTTGGATGCCCTCAGGGGTGCTGACCCCTGCCAGGCCACGAATATCAGGCTAGAGACCCATGGTCATCTTTGTGGCTGTGGGCACCAGGCATGGGACTAAGCCCATGTCTCCTCAGGGGGATGGGGTGGGGTACAACCACCATGACAACTGCAGGGAGGGCCACGCAGGTCGTGGTCACCTGCCAGCAACTGTCTCAGACTGGGAAGGGAGGCTTTGGCATGACTTAAGAGGAAGGGCAGTCTTGGGCCAGCTATGCAGGTCCTGGCAAACCTGGCTGCCCTGTCTCCATCCCTGTCCCTCAGGGTAGCACCATGGCAGGGCTGGGGGAACTGAAGTGTCCTTGCTCTATCCCTGTTGTGAGGTTCCTTCCAGGGGCTGGCACTGAAGCAAGGGTGCTGGGGCCCCGTGGCCTTCAGCCCTGGCTGAGCAACTGGGCTGTAGGGCAGGACTACTTCCTGAGGTCAGGTCTTGGTAGGTGCCTGCATCTGTCTGCCTTCTGGCTGACAATCCCGGAAATCTGTTCTGCAGAATCCAGGCCAAAAAGTTCACAGTCAACTGGGGAGGGGGATTCTTCATGCAGGAGACCCTGGGCCCTGGAGGCTGCAACATACCTCAATCCTTTCCCAGGCCGGATCCTCCTGAAGCCCTTTTTGCAGCACTGCTATCCTCCAAAGCCATTGTAAATGTGTGTACAGTGTGTATAAAGCTGCTTCTTCTTTCTTTTTTTTTTAAACTGAGGATTGTCATTAAACACAGTTGTTTTCTACCTGCCTGCTTGGTCTCTTTTTGTGAATGTTCAGCTAAGATGGGGAGGCCTGGCCGCTGTTCAGCCCTGTCCTGGGAGCCAGGGTCAAAGTCCGCCAACCTTGGGGCTGGGCACAGTGCTCAGGGCTCCTTCTGCTCCATTTCTACATCACATTTTGTTATAGTGACTTCTTAACTGGCTCCCCACTTTCCTACTTGTCCCCTCTGTTCATCCTCCAGGGTGGTGGTCATTTTATCTGCTCATGCCACAGTCCAGCCTTCCATACATAGCTGTGGTTTCTGCATCCATAGGCTTAACTAACCTCAGGTAGAAAAAAAAATGTTTAAAAAAAGGATGCAAGGCCGGGCGTGGTGGCTCACACCCGTAATCCCAGCATTTTGGGAGGCCGAGGCGGGTGGATCACGAAGTCAGGAGATCGAGACCATCCTGGCTAACATGATGAAACTCCATCTCTACTAAAAATATAAAAAATTAGGTGGGCATGGTGGTGTGCACCTGTAGTCCCAGCTACTTGGGAGGCTGAGACAGGAGAATGGCGTGAACCCGGAAGGCAGAGCTTGCAGTGAGCCGAGACTGCGCCACTGCACTCCAGCCTGGGTGACAGAGTGAGACTCCATCTCAAAAAAATAAAAAATAAAAAAAGGATACGGCTGGGCGCAGTGGCTCGTGCCTGTAATCCCAGTTCTTTGGGAGGCTGAGGTGGGTGGATCACCTGAGGTCAGGAGTTCAAGACCAGTCTGGCCAACATGGTGAAACTCCATTCTACTAAAAATACAAAAATTAGCTGGGTGTGGTGGCAGGAGCCTGTAATCCCAGCTACTTGGGAGGCTGAGGCAGGAGAATCACTTAAACATGGGAGATGGAAGTTACAGTGAGCCGAGATAGTGCCATTGCACTCCAGCCTGAGTGATAAGAGCAAAACTCCGTCTCAAAAAATAAATAAATAAATAAATAAATAAAGGATGGTTACCTCCGTACTGAACATGTATGGACTTTTTTCCTTGTCGTTGTTCCCTAACAATATAGTATAACAACTATTTATATATCATTTGCATTGTATTAGGTAGTATAAGGAATCTAGAGGTGATTTAAGGTATACAGGAAAATGTGTGTAGGTTATATGCAAGTATGACACCATTTTATATAATGGACTTGAGCATCTATGGACTTTATTATCTGCAGGGGGTCCTGGAACCAATTCCCATGGATACTGAGGGATTACTGTACTTTGGTTTCCCACCACTGTGAGGATACTGAACAAAGCAACTTCAGTCACTGCCCTTCCCAACTCTCCAGTGTCTCCTTGCCCTACCTTCCAGCCCCATGTGTGTTTTTGTAATAGCATTTATCATAGTTGCATTTTTTTTTTTTTTTTTTTTTGTAAGAGAGACAGGGTCTCCCTTTGTTGCCCAGGCTGCAGTGCAGTGGTGCAATCAGCTCACTATAACCTTGAACTCCTGGGCTTAAGGGATCTTTCCCACTCCACTTCCCAAGTAGCTGGGGCTACAGGTGCACACCACCATGCTACACCCAGCTTATTTATTTTAAAATTTTTGTAGAGACAGGGTCTTGCTGTCTTGTCCAGTCTGGTCTCAAACTCCTGGCTTCAAGTGATCCTCCCTGCTTTGGCCTCCTAAAGAGTTGGGATTATAGGCATGAGCCACTGAGCCCAGCCACAGCTGCAATTTCATTAGACTGAACCGTATGAAATCATCAGTAGTGGGCCACTGTTTTACTCCCTGCATTATTCAATCAGTTACATGATTGCTTTGAGACTTTCATTAGTTTCACTAGCTTCAGGCTGTAAGAGCCAAGAGGCAGAGCCGAAGGACTGGGCTGCCTGGTTTCGCTCCCCACCATAGGGCTGGGTTAAGCAGAGTGTGAAGCTAAGAGGGGAATGGAGAAGGTGGAAGGTGTCCCTCCCTTCCAACTCTCGCTCATCTGACGCACCAGCCAAACCAAATACCACCTGGGCCTTTGAACATTGCCAAGCCTCATCTGCTGTTGTCATTTTGCCCACCTCCACAACTGCAGGGACAGCCATAGGCCCGGAACTGGGATATCTGTTCCTAGGGGCCTGCCTATCTGCTCAGCTGCACTGCGTTTTAGGGGTGGGGAAGCTAAGGCAGGAGCCTGGGGTCCCAAAGCATGCCAAGACCACTCAGGCTTCCAGATACTAGGTCCTCCTCCTTCAGGTCTCACTTCATTTCTTTTCCCCTGGGCCAGTTCCAGTCCTGGCTGTAAGACTTGGAAAGCCACTGCTTGACTCAGGACCTCAGTGGCTATTTTTGTCCGTGAGAAGTCCTCTACACCACGACTTGGGAAGCAGCCTGGGAGAAAGAGAAATTAGTCGTGGCTCCTTTAAGGGGTCCGCGGAGGCGCGCCCGGCCTTTTGTTTGAGCGGCGGCGCGCGCGTCAGCGTCAACGCCAGCGCCTGCGCACTGAGGGCGGCCTGGTCGTCGTCTGCGGCGGCGGCTGCGGCTGAGGAGCCCGGCTAAGGCGCCAGTACCCGGCCCGGTCCACATTTTGCCTTCCGGCTTCGGTTTCCCTCGGCCCGGCACGCCCCGGCCCCGCCCCAGCCCTCCCGATCTCTCGCAGCCCGGCTCCAGCCGCCCGCTTCTGCCGCCGCAATGATGATGATGGCGCTGAGCAAGACCTTCGGGCAGAAGCCCGTGAAGTTCCAGCTGGAGGACGACGGCGAGTTCTACATGATCGGCTCCGAGGTAGCCCGCGGCGCGTCCTCGCCCTCCCCGGGCTCGGCCCCGCGGGAGCCCTGGGGCAGGCCCATGCGCCGAGAGCGCGCGTCTCCATTCATCGGGGCGGGCGGGCGCGCGCGCGCTCGGGGCTGCAGGGCGTGGCCTAGTGGGCGTGTCGGGCATGGCCCCCGCCCCCTCATCGACCTGGGATTTCCTTACCCATTTCGCCGAGGTGCGCGATCTGTAGTGCTACCAGGATTTTGGCGCCGAGAGGGTCCCCAGTGGTTCCGCGCTGGGTTGGTTTCCAGCCAGACGCAAATTAACGAGATATTGAGTTAGCTCCTGCGATGCTTGGGGGACCGCACTGCTGCCTTTGACCCTTTTTAGATGTTGTAAATTTCACATGCGCCCCTCCTCCTATTGCTACTTGTGGGAACCTGAAATGGCAGACTGGAAACCCCGGACTTAGTGAGGGCTCATCCCCATTGTGTTTGTTGCCTCTAAGGTGGGCAGTGGAGGTGTTTTGACCTTTTTACCAGTGAAGAAACAGACTGGAGGGTGTTTGCTTTTGGGTGAATAAGGGCCCCATGCCTAAGCCAGATCTTTCAGCAATTCTGAAGCAATTGACACTTTTTCCATATCTGTGAACTGATTCTGAATTGTTACAGCGGAAAGAGCCTAAAAATGTTTAACCCTTAACTAGAGAGGCTGCATTTTGTTGCATCAACTGGATGACTGACTTTAGGAAAACCCTACAACTGGCCTTTAATGGGTGTTTGTTCCCAGTATATTAGGTTCTTGTTTTTCGTTTTTTATAGAGACGGGGTCTTGCTGTGTTGCCCAGGGTGGTGTCCAACTCCTGGGCTCAAGCAGTCTGCCTGCCTGGGTCTCCCAAAGTGCTGGGATTACAGGCATGAGCCACCACGCCTGGCCATATATTAGGTTTTTCCAGATTGTCTCAAACTAGCCTTTTTTGCTCCAAAGGCAGTCCCCAGCTAGTATATGTTACCTTTTTTAAAAAATTATGGATATGCAGTTCAGATGTACAAATGTCAAGCAGTGGAGTCTCATGTAAGGAAGTAAGTGCCAATCCTGGAGAATTAAAGCTGTCATGAAATGCAATGAGGCCGGGCGCGGTGGCTCAAGCCTGTAATCCCAGCACTTTGGGAGGCCGAGACGGGCGGATCACGAGGTCAGGAGATCGAGACCATCCTGGCTAACACGGTGAAACCCCGTCTCTACTAAAAAATACAAAAAAACTAGCCGGGCGAGGTGGCGGGCGCCTGTAGTCCCAGCTACTCGGGAGGCTGAGGCAGGAGAATGGCATAAACCTGGGAGACGGAGCTTGCAGTGAGCTGAGATCCGGCCACTGTACTCCAGCCTGGGTGACAGAGCGAGACTCCGTCTCAAAAAAAAAAAAAAAAAAGAAATGCAATGAGTTTCTTCTCCTTGTAGCAGTTTTTAGTATCATATTCCAGCATTGTATTCATGCTTTGTTTTATTTTTATTTTTGAAAAAAGGTCTCACTTTGTTATCCAGGCTTTGGTGCAGTCGTGTGATCGCAGCTCACTGCAGCCTTGACCTCCTGGGCTCAAGCGATCCTCTTGCCTCAGCCTCCCAAGTAGCTGGGACTAGAGGTTTGCACCACCATGCCCGACTAATTTTTGTATTTTTTGTAGAGACGGGGTTTTGCCATGTTACCCAGGTTGGTCTTGAATTCCTGGGCTCAAGTGATCCTTGCACCTCAGCCTCTGAAAGTACTGGAATTACAGGTGTGAGCCACCACACTCACACTCAGCGCATTCATACTTTTTAAACTTGCGGGTTTTTTTTTCTTTCACAATTGAGCATAGCATGAATGAATGAAGCCTCAAGATGGTCACACTGAGTCCCATGGATTGAGACTAAGGTCAATAGCATCAGAACTTTAGTGTTAGCATTTTCCACCCTTTTTTTTTTTTTTTTTTTTTTTTTTTTTCCGGACAAGGTCTGACTCTATCACCCAGGCTGGAGTGTAGTGGTGCAATCTTGGCTCACTGCAACCTCTGCCTCCCAGGCGCAGGCCCTCCTCCCACCTCAGTCTCCCAAGTAGCTGGGACTACAGGCTCACACCACCACACCCGGCTAATTTTTGTATTTTTAGTAAAGATGGGGTTTTACCATATTGTCCAGGCTGGTCTTAAACTTGTGAGCTCAAGTGATCTGGCTGCTTCGGCCTCCCAAAGTGCTGGGATTATAGGCATGAGCCACTGTGCCTGGCCTCCATCAATTTTTGTAAAACAAAAAATGCAGGATGCAATAAAATTTTCACGTTGTCACTTAAACTACAACTGTTCAAAGATGTCAGTGCTGGGGAGGTGGAGCCAGTGCCTGTCCATCTGCCACAGTTCAGAATGGTCCTCATTGGCTGGTAGGCACCTGCCTAACTGCAGAATGCAAAAGGCTGTTGAATTTCAATACTAGGCGAATTGTTTACCTGATCTAATGGGTGTAAAAGTAATCAGTTTGGAGGGGAGAGGGGAGGGATTGCATTGGGAGTTATACCTCATGTAAATGAGGAGTTGATGGGTGCAGCACACCAACATGGCACAAGTATACATATGTAACAAACCTGCACGTTGTGCACATGTACCCTAGAACTTAAAGTATAATAATTTAAAAAAAAGTAATCAGTTTGGCTCTGAGTGGGTGACACTTCAAAAGAAAGCTTTCATTTATTAGTTGGAGCAAATTGAGAAGCTGGGCGTGGCCAAGTGGGAAGAACCTTGGGAGGCCTGGTTCCAGCCCTGCTCTGCCTTGGTGTCACGTTTCTCACGTGTATAATGTGAATGCTTAGACTAGATGGTCTCCAAGATCTTCCCCAAAACACATTGTAGTTTTTAGAAAGCTAATTACAGTCTTGTCTTTCAGCCCGTTCACTCCTGGGCCTCCCAGTAAGAATGATCTTCCTGAGACCCAGCCTATAAGAGACTCAGATGGACAGGCAGTTTGTTTTTTTGGACCTGACTTAATCAGCAGAGCTTCAGAGTTTAGGGAAGGGTTCAAGGTCAGAGGTCTATTGAAATTCAGTAGCTCCAGTGACAGTGGTGGATGGATGGTCCCAGCACACTGCCCTGTGGAAAACAGGCACTGTATTCAGAGAGGTGGGCCAGCCAGAGCAACATCCTCAGTGCCTCCATGTGCCATCTGTGATGCTGTCTTGGGAGGGCATCTGCATTTACTATGAGTGTGTGTCACTGTTCTGCCATTAACAGCTGTATTTACCAAACCAGAGTCACGAAGCTTTGAGGACCGTAACAGATCCCCAATCCAGCACCTTCATTTTATATTCAGGAAACCTGGGTCCCAAGACGGTGAAGGCTGGTTCAGAGAAAAGCCAGGCAGGCCAGCCCAGTTTCCTAAGTTCTGAAGGGGCTTTGGGGGGCATCTAGGAGTCTCAGAGCCCTGCAGGGCCTGCAAGATAGTCATAGTGGGGAGTATTGTCAATTTCTTTTTAAAAACCGAATGGAAACTGTACATTTACCATGATACTGGATGATACTGACACACAAGCCAAATAACACAGAGGGGTCTGTGCCTTCTGTGTGGAAAACGAGTGAGTTGCTGTGGCTGCTCTTCTCTCACAGTGTTCAGTAGCCCTGGTTGTTGATTATAGTCACTGCTGAAAATAGAGAAACATTTAATACTATGCCTGGGTCTCATACCTATGATCCCAGCACTTTGGGAGGCCAAGGCAGGAGAATCACTTGAGCCCAGGAGTTTAAGACCAGCCTGGGCAACATAGTGAGACTCTTGTCTCTACAAATTTTTATTTTAATTTTTTTTAATTAGGCCAGGTATGTGGCTCACACCTATAATCCCAGCACTTTGGGAGACCGAGGTGGGCAGATCGCTTGAGCCCAGGAGTTTGAGACCAGCCTGGGCAACATGGTGAAACCCCGTCTCTACAAAAAATACAAAAATTCGCCGGTTGTAGTGGCGCGCAACTATAGTCCCAGCTACTCAGGAGGCTGAGGCAGGAGGATCGCTTGAGCCCGGAAGTTCGAGGCTGTAGTGAGCTATGATCACACCACTGCACTTGAGCCTGGGTGACAGAGTGAGACACTGTCTCAAAAATAATAATAAAAATTAAAAATAAATTTTAAAATTAAAAATATATACTATGTTGGGTAGATAAAATGGGAAAAATAATGGAAGTGGTCCTTCATAGGGTGAAGTTCAGAGTTGCTGAGCATTTGGCAGATGAGTAAAGAGACCCAGAAAATGGGAAGTGGTCCCAGGTTACAGATGGAGCCAGCACCTAGCACCCAGTCTACTGCCCATCCCCTGCAATGTGACTCCGAAGCGATCATACTTGAAAAGTCAGTGAGACAATAGGGTACCCTCATAAAATCTTTAGGACTAGATTTATTTTCCTTAAGGAAATCACACTCTCAGTACTTGGTACAAGCAAACTGAAGCCATTGTTTGAGTCAGTGATGATTTATATAGCAGTCTGGTGATTGCCAATAATCTGGTGATTGCCTTGTAAACCTTTTGGAAAATTCCTTTGGTATCCCTGGTTGGGGTTTTGTTACTAAACAAAGCAGCACAGGCCATGGGGGAAATTATCTGGCATCTGTCTAAAATTAAAAGACCTTTTTGGTGTTTATTGCATCGTAAAAATATCAAAGTCTTGTCCTTAAGATAAAAGAAGGTCAAGGAGGCCTTGCATTTCTGGAAAGTGCCAGAGATCCTTAGTCCAAAATCAAAATCACCACGAGTTGCTTGCTAAGCTCTGGGGGCCTCCCACTCAGGCATCTGCCCAGGCGTTTCGGAACTTGGTTCTGTTGTCAGGATGCACACATGCAGGCCAGATGTGCACTGCTGGTGAACCCTTCGTATCAGCAGAATGTGTTTTAATGCTGCGGAAAGCTTGGCGCCTGGGGGCCACCTCGAGGCCTGTTTGTCTGTTGCTTGATGCAGTCTGCACCAGGACCCTCCCCTTCCCTGTGGTGCTGCGACCCTCATAATGAGCCTTCTTGCTTTACTCATAGGTGGGAAACTACCTCCGTATGTTCCGAGGTTCTCTGTACAAGAGATACCCCTCACTCTGGAGGCGACTAGCCACTGTGGAAGAGAGGAAGAAAATAGTTGCATCGTCACATGGTAAAAAAACAAAACCTAACACTAAGGGTGCGTCTTCACGAGGGTTTGTAAACCTGTTTCGAAACCACTCGCTTATGTCATGAAGATAAAACGTTTTCACTCCAGAGTGTCTTCACTGCAGCCTTGGCCTTAGTCGGGCAGGGAGCATCCCAGGGGTGGGCCGCCCTGTGAGCACTCCAGGCGAGGAAGCGGCTCCAGGGAGCCATTGGTGGTCCACTGTCAGGTATTCCAGCAGGGCCAGTGGGTACGTGAGCGGGCCGGGGCCGGGACACTAGCAGGTGCTGTGAAGACATGTTGGTCTCAAAACGTTTTAGGAATGCTGCGATGCTCTGCCATCTGCCGTGGGTGTGTCGCCATAATCATCTTCCATGCAGCCCGAGTGGCGGGTGGTGGTCCCAGCTCCCACTCCCCTCTGGGGCTTTCACCGCTTGCTTCCCAGAGCACATCCATCCCATAGCACTTCATCCTGGCAGCCAGTGTGCTAGAGCTCATGTGCATGTCCCTGCTCCTGGTGGCCTGCGTGTGCCTGGGGCTTGCTAGTTGAGCCGCCCAACACTAGTGAAACTAGTGGGCTTTGGGTCACGGCAGCTCTGTGCAGGGTGAAAGCGTGCTGTTCAGACACTCTGGGGGCTCTGCAGGAAACACTCCCATGGAGACATTTGGGTATGGTCACAGCATGTCCTTTGGCAGGTGGCGAAACTGCTTCCCACGTGGCAATGGCGCCTTGTAGAGAGCTGCCCTGGGCCTGGGTGTGTCTGTGAGCACGTGCGCGATGCTTCCTAGTCTGCGCTGTTTGTTTGTGTCTGTAGGTGCTGCTGTGGTTTTGTCCACTGCGGGAAAGTAGTGGTTCTTTTAATGCAGGAGCCGGAGCTTCTTTTTGATCCGCTGCTATGACATTTCTACTCACTTGCTTAAAACAGTTTCCTTTTTGTTCCCCCTCCTCCCCCAGCAGAGCATCAGTCGCTAACACAGTGAGTCCCCAGCTTTGCTTCCCCCTCCGCAAGTCCCTGGGCTAAGTCTTGGGAGATACCTTCCCCATAAGTGATTGATTTCTCCAGGAGAAGCCAGACTGGGCCCACAGACAGGTAGCTCTTGACGGAGGTTCCCCGGAAGAGCGAGGGGTCGAGCTGCCTAGAATCTGTCCTGCTTTCCAGGCAGCCCATCTGGACCGGCTCGGGGATAGAAATTCGGGTTTGGTGTGAAGCAGCTCTTTCCAACTCTCTGGGCTCTTGTTTTAAAAGAAAAGCATTCTTCATCTCTCATTCCATCTCCCCACCTCGCATCGTGTTGTGGATTGTGGTGGTGTCAGACCTCTTCCCACTGGGGTGTTACTCTGGGGCCTTTCTTTTCCTGAGTGAGGACCAAGGTGTCCCCGCTGGTCGCTGGTCGTGCTGTATTGTAGTTGCTAGTGCTGCCCTGAGCACTACCCTCTGCCCCTGAGCCAGTGCTCCTGGGGCAGATTAGTCTAAATCAGTCCCTTTGGAGGCTCTACCCAGCAGGACTTGTAAGTAAAGCACTCAGTCCAGATTGCCCTTTTGGAAGAGGCCAGCATTCGGTAGTAGTGAGTTTGACACCTTGCTTTTCCCACCTCCCGCATGCGAGGACCTTGATGTGCTGCATCCACTTGGCTGGCTGCTGTGTGCCACCGCCACCAGCAGAGTGACCCAGTGATGTCTGTCTGTTACAGATCACGGATACACAACTCTAGCCACCAGTGTGACCCTGTTAAAAGCCTCGGAAGTGGAAGAGATTCTGGATGGCAACGATGAGAAGTACAAGGCTGTGTCCATCAGCACAGAGCCCCCCACCTACCTCAGGTAATGCGTTCCTGGCCAAGGCATCTCTGGGGACATCTGTGGGGTCTTTTCTCAGACTCAAGAACTGGTTGGGTTGAAGTTAAATTGAAACACCTTTTTTTTTTTTTTTGAGATGGAGTCTTGTTCTTGTTGCCCAGGCTGGAGTGCAGTGGCACGATCTCGGCTCACTGCAACCTCTGCCTCCCAGGTTCAAATGATTCTTCTGCTTCAGCCTCCCGAGTAGCTGGGATTACAGGTACCTGCCACCACACCTGGCTAATTTTTTTTTTTGAGATGGAGTTTCACTCTTGTTGTCCAGGTTGGAGTGCAGTGGCATGATCTCAGCTCACTGCAACCCCCACCTCCCGGGTTGAAGCGATTCTCCTGCCTCAGCCTCCTGAGTAGCTGGGATTATAGGCATACGCCACCATGCCCAGCTAATTTTGTATTTTTGGTAGAGATGGGGGTCTCTCCATGTTGGTCAGGCTGTTCTCGAACCCGACCTCAGGTGATCCGCCCGCCTCAGCCTCCCAAAGTGCTAGGATTACAGGTGTGAGCCACCACGCCTGGTCCTAATTTTTAGATTAAAACACTTTTTAACCGTTCCCTCTGTTTTTATACATTTTCTTAGCCAGGTTTCTAAGTTTCTTCTGTATCATTGGAATTTGTAAGAAACGTAAGCCAAGTCCTGGATTCCAGGGAACAGTTATGAATGCTTGGAAAGCAGGACTCTCTGAGGCACAGTGGCTTACGCTTGTAATCCCAGCACTTTGGGAGGCCGAGGCATTGCTTGAGGCCAGGAGTTCAAGACCAGCCTGGGGCAACACAGCAAGACCTCATCTCTTAAAAAACAAATAAGTGGGACCAATTTGTCAGAAAAATTAGTGACTCACATAAACTCACAAAAGAAACAACAATAGATTTGAATGTATAAAAACTTAGAACCTGGTTGGGTGTGGTGGTTCACGCCTATAATCCCAGCACTTTGGTAGACCGAGGCGGGCAGATCACCTGAGGTCGGGAGTTCGAGACCAGCCTGACCAACATGGAGAAACCCTGTGTCTACTAAAAATACAGAATTAGCCAGGTGTGGTGGCGCATGCCTGTAATCTAAGCTACTCAGGAGCCTGAGGCAGGAGAATTGCTTGAACCCGAGAGGTGGAGATTGCAGTGAGCCAAGATCGCACCATTGCACTCCAGCCTGGGCAACAAGAGGGAAACTCCATCTCAAACAAAACAAAACAAAACAAAACTTAGAACCTTTAGAAGAGTATTTAGGCCGGGCGCGGTGGCTCACGCCTGTAATCCCAGCACTTTGGGAGGCCGAGACGGGCGGATCACGAGGTCAGGAGATCGAGACCATCCTGGCTAACACGGTGAAACCCTGTCTCTACTAACAAATACAAAAAACTAGCCGGGTGAGGTGGCGGGCGCCTATAGTCCCAGCTACTCGGGAGGCTGAGGCAGGAGAATGGCGTGAACACGAGAGGTGGAGCTTGCAGTGAGCTGAGATCCGGCCACTGCACTCCAGCCTGGGTGACAGAGCGAGACTCCGTCTCAAAAAAAAAAAAAAAAAAAAAAAGAAGAGTATTTATAGTAACAATTAAAAAAGCAAGTAATTGGAAAGTTACGATGTTATATCTAGAATCTATACATCTAGATTTATACAATGAACTTGGATACCCCAACAAATAGATAAAAGATGGTCCATACCTTGAAGTACAAGGGAGTAAACAAACATGGAAAGAATTTGCCCTCGTGTAATTTCAAAAATTCCAACCATAAGACTGAGCATGGTGGCTTATGCCTGTAATCTCAGCACTTTGGGAAGTCAAGGCAGGAGGATCACCTGAGTCCAGGATTTGACTCTGTTGCCCAGGAGACCAGCCTGAGCAACATAGTGAGACCTTATCACTACTGAAGGTTAAAAAAATTAGCTGGGTGTGGTGATCACACCACTCTCCTCTAGCCTGGGTAACAGAACGATACCCTGTCTCTTAAAAAATAAAAAAAAATAGGCTAGGCATGGTGGCTCACGCCTGTAATCCCAGCACTTTGGGAGGCTGAGGCGGGCAGATCACCTGAGGTCAGGAGTTTGAGACCAGCCTGACCAACATAGTGAAGCCCCATCTCTACTGAACATACAAAATTGGCTGGGCATGGTGGCGCATGCCTGTAATCCCAGCTACTCAGGAAGGCTGAGGCAGGAGAATCGCTTGAACCCAGGAGGCAGAGGTTGCGGTGAGCTGAGATTGCACCATTGCTCTCCAGCCTGGGCAACAAGAGTGAAACTCTATCTCAAAAAAATATTAAATAAATAAGGCTGGGCGCGGTGGCTCACACTTGTAATCCCAGCACTTTGGGAGGCCGAGGTGGGTGGAGGTCAGGAGGTTGAGACCATCCTGGCTAACATGGTGAAACCCTGTCTCTACTAAAAATACAAAAAAATTAGCCGGGCGTGGTGGTCGGCGCCTGTAATCCCAGCTACTCAGGAGGCTGAGGCAGGAGAATGGCGTGAACCTGGGAGGCGGAGCTTGCAGTGAGTCAAGATTGCGCCACTGCACTCCAGCCTGGGCGACAGAGTGAGACTCCGTCTCATAAATAAATTAAATAAATAAATAAATAAATAAATAAATATAAAAATTCCAAGCATAAAACAAAAAACTGGCAATGTAAGGAATTGGGGAAGGTGTGATGGAGCTGCGCTCATGTGTGCTGGAGGTGCTGGGATTACAGGTGTGAGCCACCGTGCCCAGCCAGGAGTGCTCTTTTTGTAAAGCATCCTGACATCAAACTTTTTTGTTCTCTGGCCCACTAATACCACCCCTAGGAATTTGTCCCAAAAAAATATTTTCAAAGAACAAAATGAATCAATAAACCCACTATATGTACAGAGATTCTTTGTAGCATTGTGAATAATACTGGAGAATATGGAGTTGTTTAAGTACCCAGCCTCAAGGAAAGCCTAGGTTACTGACGGGTCAGCTACTTGAATAGACAAAGGTGTGACCCATACGTGGTGTAATTAAGTAGATACTGCAGTGACCCGAGACAGGGCTCCTGTGGGTGAGACGTGCAGAATATAAGATTGTACCCATCTACCTTGTGCATTCAGCTCTCGAGAAAGTATGCATTTCTCTGCACAAAGCCCAAGGAGCATTAAGGAAGAAAAAGGATTATTGTTCAGAGTGATGTGGTTATGGAAAATCTTTTTTATGATTCCCCCCAAAGAAAGGTGGCACGTCTCCAGGCTGGCCAGTGTTACAGGCGTGTGCTTTGCAGATTCTTTTTCCCCCTAGGGATGTGGTAAGAACATAAGGATGGCTTGGCCTTCCCAGGGAAGTTGCAGAAGGAAATTGTGTGCATATGGATGGCACTTTAATTCTGCACACGTCAGCTGGGAATCTTTTATGGGGCGATAAAACACTTTCTTGGTGATCATGACGTGAGGAACAGCTGCAGGAGTGGAATTCCATTGCCCTGGAGGTCAAGTCTTTAGGGGTGGGGGTTGGCAGAGGTTTGAAGGAAATAGCTTTGGCTGACTCCACATTACTCAGTCAGCCCAATAGGGGGATGGGCACCCTACCCATCCTGTCATTGGACAATTTGAGCAGAGGCTGGGTGCCCTCTCTCACGGATCCTGGGATTGCAATAGAAGGAAGGGTGTTTTTTTGTTTTTGTTTTGTTTTTGAGATGGAGTTTCGCTCTGTCACCCAGGCTGGAGTGAAGTGGCGGGATCTCAGCTCACTGCAACCTCCGCCTCCTGGGTTCAAGTTATTCTCCTTCCTCAGCCTTCCTAGTAGCTGGGATTACAGGCACCTGGCACCACACCCAGCTAAATTTTCATAGTTTTAGTAGAGAAGGGCTTTCACCATGTTGGCCAGGCTGGTCTCAAACTCCTGACCTCAGGTGATCTGTCCACCTCGGCCTCCCAAAGTGCTGGGATTACAGGTGTGAGCCACCACACCTGGCTGGAAGATTGACTTTTATAACTTAGATTTGCAGATTCTGTGTATGGCTGAGCATGTTAGTCACATTCACTGTGTCTGGTGACACTTGCATTATCCACTTGGGTTGGTAGCTAGACCTGGAAATGAGAACTTGCTACTGAGATAGGGCAGGATGAGGGGGCAGGGGCTCAGCCCAGGCTCTAACATATCCATTCAGAAAGGAGGAGGTGGTCAAGATCTGTGGTTTCCAAATACAGGCTCAGCTGCCTGGGAATCATCCATGGAAGCTGCAAAGAACCCATCTTCTTGGGCCCTTCCTCAGAGGTGGGAAGTCACTTCACCTGGGTGGGGCTCAGGAATGTGCTACTTAAAATTTTGCATTCTGGGGTCGGGTGTGGTGGCTGACACCTGTACTCTCGGCACTTTGGGAGGCCAAGGTGGGAGGATTGCTTGAGCCCAGGAGTTTGAGACCAGACTGGGCAACATAGTGAGACCCCCATCTCTATTAAAAAAAAAATAAAATAAAATTGCACTCTGAGTCTGAGCGGCCAGGATTAGGAACCATGACCCAGATAGGCTGTAGAGGGGACCCCTGTCTTGCTGTCCCCTCTCTTAGTCCCTGCCCAAGCGGATTTCATGTTCCCCAAAATGGGTACTACAAAATCCTCCCTACCCCTACCAGCAATCAAGGGGTAGTCCTAGTCTCAGCATCAGACGTGTAAGTGACCCCTGCTTTAGAAGGGAAAAGAATTAAAGGGCCCAGAGTCCAGGCAGGTCTTGGATATTGCTTCTGTCCCCCCACCCTCTGGAAAGGAGAAGGACCTTTGTGCTGTCTTCCCGGGTCCCTCCTTAGAGGGCACTGTCAAATGTTTGTCGGCCGGGCGCAGTGGCTCATGCCTGTAATCCCAGCACTTTGGGAGACCGAGGCGGGCGGATCACGAGGTCAGGAGATCGAGACCATCCTGGCTAACATGGTGAAACCCCGTCTCTACTAAAAATACAAAAAAATTAGCCGGGCGAGGTGGCGGGCGCCTGTAGTCCCAGCTACTCAGGAGGCTGAGGCAGGAGAATGGCATGAACCTGAGAGGCAGACCTTGCAGTGACCGAGATGGCGCCACTGCGCTCCAGCCTGGGTGACAGAGCGTGACTCCGTCTCAAAAAAAAAAAGAAAAAAGAAAGAAACCTTTGTCATGACTTGCTCTGAACTGTTGAATAGTTATTGCGGAAGTGGTTGCGCAGGTGTTGGGGTTACACAGGGAAGTGACGCAGTCGCTGCCTGCTCCTGCTCACAGCCTTGCCAGGGAAAATGGGAACACACAGAGTACAGCAGGCACCCAAATGCTCTCATCTGTCTCACCCAGCCCTGGAGCCTTTGCCTTTGTTTAAAATAGCTTTTGGTGTGTGTGTGTGTGTATATATATATATATATATTTTTTTTTTTTTTAATTCAAGATAGGGTGTTGCCATCTCACCCAGGCTGGAGTGCAGTGGCTGATCTCGGCTCACTGCAACCTCCGCCTCCTGGGTTCAAGTGATTCTTATGCTTCAGCCTCCTGAGTAGCTGAATTATAGACGTGTGCCACCATGCCTGGCTAATTTTTGTATTTTGGGTAGGGTTGAGGTTTCACCATGTTGGCCACGCTGGTTTTGAACTCACCTTTTTTTTTTTTTTGAGACAGAGTTTCGCTCTTGTTGCCCAGGCTGGACTGCAGTGGCGTGATCTCGGCTCACTGCAACTTCTGCCTCCCAGGTTCAAGCGATTCTCCTGCCTCAGCCTCCTGAGTAGCTGAGATTACAGGTGCCTGCTACCACACCTGGCTAATTTTAGTAATTTTAGTAGAGACAGGGTTTCACCATGTTGGCCAGGCTGGTCTCGATCTCCTGACCTCAGGTGATCCACCCGCCTTGGCCTCCCAAAGTGCTGGGATTACAGGCATGAGCCACCGCGCCTGGCCTGGTTTCGAACTCTTGACCTCAGGTGGTCTGCCCACCTTGACCTCCCAAAGTGCCAGAGTTACAGGCATGAGCTGCTGCGCCTGGCGCTTTTGGTAAAAGTAACCTGGAATTTGGGAGAGAAGATCAAACTCTTCATGGGACATAGATTATTTAAATTACTTTGGATGTCACCTCTGGAAGGTATTTGCCAACCCATCTTCTGACTTCTACTGCTCTGGAAGCTCGGAGGCCAGAGGCCTTGCCTAGTCCATCTCAGGATGGCTAGTATGTCTAAAATGACAGTCTGATCACGTCTCTTCCTTCAAAACCCTGGGGACTCCCAGCCATCTGCTGAGTAAAGCCATCTTCTCACGGAGCATGTGAGACCTGTGATCAGTCCCCTCCCTGGGGGCCCCCTCCCTGGACTGCCCTTCAGTCTCTCCTCCCTGCTGCTGCCTGTGCCCCTCCCCACAGTGAACCCTGACTTGGTGTCTAAGGCTCTGCTCTATTGTCCACCCCTTGTACAAGCCTCCCCCTTGTACCACTTCCCGCATCTCCAGGAAGTGCTTCTGTGGAGCCATGCCTGGCTCATAGTGCAGTACACCATGGCCATGGGTTAGCAACTGACCTGCGTGCTGGGCTGTGTCTGGTGCCCCTCCATACCCTTGCCCTTGCTCAGGTGCCTCTAGCATCTGATGACAGCCTGGGGAGCAGGCTTCTGCAAAATCAGGTGCACAGACAACTCCCACGGGAGCCTCGAGCCTGACAGAGGTACAGTGGGCATCCCCTGAGCATGAGTTGATTCCTGGTGGGCAGGATCAGGCTCCTAGACTGACTGGGGGGACTTTTCTTGTATCTCCCCAGGGAACAGAAGGCCAAGAGGAACAGCCAGTGGGTACCCACCCTGCCCAACAGCTCCCACCACCTGGATGCCGTGCCATGCTCCACGACCATCAACAGGAACCGCATGGGCCGGGACAAGAAGAGAACCTTCCCCCTTTGGTGCGGATGTGTCGCTGCGCTCACCCTCTGCCCTGATTCTCCCTTAGTTCTCCAGCACATTTCAGTCCCCTCCTCCCCAGAAAAACACTGCTTTGACCTTGTGCTCCCCACAATGCTACAGTACCTCCTTCTCTTTGAACCACTGTGTTTCCCTGACCTCCAGGACATTGTCTGTAGCCTCTTTGGCTCTGTCTGCTGTCACCTTGCCGTGTCCTCCTCACCTCTCTGGCCCCTCAAGTGGAGTTACTCGGGGCACGGTCCTTGTGCCCTTTCTCTGCCCTCAGTTTCACACGAGTGGGTCATAGCCAGTCTGACGGTTCACATGCCATCCACGTGATTCCCACTGCGCCACCACTTCCCAGAGGCTGCTGGAATAAACCACCACAAACTGGTGGCTGCCAGCAGTGCACAGTTCTTCCCTCACAGTTCGGGGGCCCAGGAGCCCAGATTTGGTTTCACTAGACCAGATGCATGTGTAGACAGGGCCGTGCTCCCTCCAGAGGCCCTCGGGGCGATTCGGTCCTTGCTGCTTCCGGCTTTGGGGGCTGCCACATTCCTGGGCCTGTGGCTGCCTCACTTCAGTCTCGGCCTCTGTGGTCATGTGGCCTTCTCTGCGTGAAATCTCCTGTCGGGGGCGGTGGCTCAAGCTGTACCAGCCTTGGGGGCGGGGGTGGACGAGGCAGGGATCGAGACATCCTGGCTAACACGGTGAAACCCCGTCTCTACTAAAATACAAAAAATAGCCGGGTGGTAGGGGCCTGTAGTCCAGCTACTTGGGGCTGAGTCGGGGAATGGGTGACCAGGGGCGGAGCTTGCAGTGAGCGAGATGCGCACTGCACTCCAGCTGGGAGACCAGGAGACTCCGTCTCAAAAAAAAAAAAAAAAAAAAAAAAAAAAAAAAAAAAAAAAAAAAAATCTCCCTGTCTCTCTCTTAGAAGGACACTTGGTGATGTAATTTAGGGCCCTTCTGGTTAACCTCTCAGGATGTTTCACTTAATCGCATCTGCAAAGTTTCCTTTTTTGGCCATATGAGGTGACAGTTATAGGTTTTGGGGATTAGGCTGTAGATGTCTTCGGGGTCTGTTTTTTACCTCTGCAGCCCAGACTTCCTCAGCTGCCCTCACCCCCTCAGCCTCATGCTGCCTGAAGACTTCTCCATCTCGGCACATGGAGATCCAGCCGTCTCCTTGCTCAGGCTGTAGCTTTCTTTCCCAAGGCCTGCCTTTTCCTCACACAGCAAGTCCAGTCTCTCCAAGGTCCCACCCGGGACTGCCTTGGCCAGCCCCGCACTGCTCTCCCTGGGGTCTCTAGCAGCCCCTGCCTCCCCTCCCTGTTGCCTTCTCAGCTCTGCAGCTGGTGTGTCCTCTGCTCCAGGCATATCGTGTCACCTCTCCACGCAAAATCCTCCAGGCTCCCCATCACCCTCGGAGCAGAAGGAGGAGTTCTCACTGGGGTGCCAGGCCCAACCTGGCCTGGTGCTGCCACTGCCACACTCTGCCCCACTCACTCTGCCTCAGACCTGAGATCGCCCTCACTGCTGTCAGACCTCCCAGAGCTTCTGCCCAGCAGTTGCCTCTGCTAAGGTTTAGCCCGTTCTCCTTCCTCCCCTCTTTCCTTTCTTCTTTCTTTCCTTCCATCATTTCTCCTTCCCTCCTTCCCATCCTTCCCCCTCCTCCTTTTCCTTCTCTCTTCCTTCCCTCCATCTCCTCTTCCCATCCCTAGTTGACTGTCCCCTTCTCCCTTAGAGTGGCCACCCCTTTCCTCCAGCACCCCTACCCCTTTCCCTGTCTGTTTCCCAGCGCATTCATGCCTGGCACTCAGCTCATTTCTCTCTCTCTTCCATCTGCCTCCCAAGATCGCGGGGGCCCTTCTTAGCCCTCTCCATGCTCCCAGACGCCCTTAGGTGTCCTCTGTCCTCCAGCTCCATCTCACCAACCTGCCTGCCCAACTCTTCCCTCTTTATCTTCCCAAAATACTCAACTCCATTGCTTGGAATCCTCCTGGGACTCCCTCAGGGCAGTGGCCAGTTTGCGTAGCCTGAGAGGAGAACTGTGGGTGCTTCGACACCCGCTAGCTTTGCAGCATCCCTGACCACTGCCCCCCATGGAATCTGTGCTCTATGGTCTGTTTGTGCGTCCTCAGCAGTTCCTCCATTCACCTGCTTTGGCCTTACTGGAATATATCCTCTTCTAGAAATGCTATTCTGCTTGCCTACAGCCTTCTGTGAAAGTCCTGCCAAATTTCAGGCTTAAATATCCCTTCACAGGACATCTGGGTTTTGTTCCAGCACTGCCCGGGTCGATCCTATTGCAGACAGACTGGTGCTTGTCATTTATGGACCCACCTGTCCCCATTAGACCATGGCCCTGGGACCCCTGCTGCCTCAGCTGTTAGCTGATAAGTGACCATGTTCCCCAGATGGGTTTGCAGAGGCCTGCTGTGCAGAGAGGGAGGCTGAAAATTTGCATGCCTAGGGCCCTGGCACCCTCACTGACTGTTGCTTCCATTTCACTTTCAGCTTTGATGACCACGACCCAGCTGTGATCCACGAGAATGCATCTCAGCCCGAGGTGCTGGTCCCCATCCGGCTGGACATGGAGATCGATGGGCAGAAACTGCGAGACGCCTTCACCTGGAACATGAATGGTACAAGGCAGTCGGGCTTGGCTGGGCCTGGCCCCAGCCCCTGTGTGTTACGTGGGAACAGTCCCCTTTCCTACCAGCTGCCTGTCAGGCAGATTCTGGACCTGACATGCGGGACATCGGGGCATAGTTTTGGAGGGTGTGGGCTCTGGGTTCAGCCCTGGTTCTGTTGCTGTTCACTGTGGGTTGGGCATGTGAACTTCGGACTCCTTTCCCCATACTGAGGTTGGGGGGCCCAAGGGGCCTGGCATGGGAGGTGGCTGGTGTGCATAGCATGGATGATGATGACAATGCCACTTAGACCTAGTTCAGCCCCCGAGCCCTGCACACACCTGCCTTGGGTCCTGTCCACCACCCTGTTTCTGCTGTGTGAGGCTGCATGTGTGCCCCGTGCCTCTCTCCTCCCCTAATTGGTCATCTCTTTAGATATCCTCACTCTGTAAGTCCTGGGTCAGGTGCCATCTCTTCTGGCTCTTCCTGGGCTTCCAAAGCCTGAACAGAACTCAGTCTTTGTGCAGATGTAGACAGAAAGGTTAGAAGGGTATGCATCCCAAGTGTCTAGACTGCTTATCCCATCTGGGAGGGAGGATCATGCATGCATTTATTTTGCTATTTTTTTCTAAGTCTGTTAGAATGTATTTTTGTTATTTTATTTTATTATTACTGTTTTTTTAGATCTTGTTGAATACCAGGTTTTTTTGTTTTTTGTTTTTTAACTTAGTGTCTGTATCCTGCTGAATTTTTATAATGAACATACTCTTTATATTAAGACAAAATGCAGTGAATATCATCTTTATTTTATTTTACCTATTTTATTTTGTTTTTTTTTAAGAGACAGAGTCTCACTCTGTTGCCCAGGCTGGAGTGCAGTGATACTCTCATATCTCGCTGTAATCTTGAACTGCTGGGCTCAAGCATTCCTCCTGCCACAGCCTGCCAAATAGCTAGGAATACAGGCATGTTCCACTGTGCCGAGCGTTATTTTTAAATGGGTGAATGTTTAAAATCATCAGAATCTCACCACCCGAATAATATTTTCAGTTTTACCTTTTCTCTCTGTCAATTCCACATGCAAACATATTTAACACAGTTGTCACTATAGAGCAAGTCTTGTTTTATTTTTCTTCACTTGTCCTAAGTATCTTTCTGGTTTCTCTTTTTTTGTGGGGGGAGATGGAGTCTCACTCTGTCGCCCAGGCTGGAGTGCAGTGGCACGATCTCAGCTCACTGCAACCTCTACCTCCTAAGTTCAAGCGATTCTCCTGCCTCAGCCTCCTGAGTAGCTGGAACTACAGGCACCCGCCACCATGCCTGGCTAATTTTTGTATTTTTAGTAGAGATGGCGTTTCACCATGTTAGCCAGGCTGGTCTTGAACTGACCTGAGGTGATCCGCCTGCCATGGCCTCCCACACTGCTGGGATTACAGGCGTCAGCCACCGTACCCAGCCTCTTTCTGATTTCTTTAATCTTCAAACAGTGCAGCATTTTCTACTGGGTCGAGGTACCTTTGTTTGCTAAAACACCCTCTGCTGTAGACGTCTGCACGGCAGATAACATAGTTGCAACATTTTTCTCTCCGAAGGGATTTCCTAAGGGAGGAGAGTATGAGTGGTTGTGGCTGCCTTGAGCTTTCTGGAAGGATTAGGCTGCTTCCTTTGGTCATCCCCAGGCACTTGGCATGCTAGGCCTGAGTGCTAGGACTACCACTTGCTCACACTAGTGCCAGGCCTGAGTCCAAAGGCTTCTGCTTAGCCCTGAGAAGAATGCCTGAGAGCCATCTGCCGGGTGCCTGTCCCCTAGGTCCCACAGGTTAGCTGGTGAGCGGGGACGCCAGGGAGAGGAGACATGGGTGAGGGAGGACACTGGCAAGAGACTCCAGGAGGTTGTATTGAGTGTAGATGGGGACAGGTACAGTTCACTGGTCATGCCCCAGAACAGGGATAGGACAGCCCATGGGCACCAGGCCACCAGCGCTGCACAATGCCTTGGCAGTGTTATCTCTGCCAAGCTGCCTGCTTATCTCTGCTGGCCCGCATCAGAGTTATTTGTTAATTCTTGTCTCTCCCTCTCCATTTCAACCCTTTAAGGTCAGGGGCCTTGTTTTTCATTGCCGTTTTCTTTTGAGATGGAGTTTCGCTCTTATTGCCCAGGCTGGAGTGCAGTGGCACGATCTCAGCTCACCACAACCTCCACCTCCCAGGTTCAAGTGATTCTCCTGCCTCAGCCTCCCGAGTAGCTGGGATTACAGGCATGTGCCACCATGCCTGGCTAATTTTGTATTTTTAGTAGAGATGGGGTTTCACCATGTTGGTCAAAGTGGTCTTGAACTCCTGACCTCAGGTGATCCGCCCGCCTCAGCCTCCCAGAGTGCTGGGATTACAGGTGTGAGCCACTGTGCCCGGCTGCTGTTTCTCTTAACATATCATCTAGCCCAGCATAGGAATTTAGTTGTTCACATTGGATCAGTCCATGCTCTGTCTCGTTACGTTTCTTTGGGCAACACATAGAAAGTTCCAGTTTGTTTATACCCCCACCCTGTTCCAAAAAGCATGTAAGGAAGCTTACCATAAGTACACTGGGCCCAAATGACTAAAGCAAATGCAAATGGAGTGGTTAGGAAAAACTGGATAAAGAAGAAATGTTCAAGTTGAAGAGGGAGCTTGCACTCAGATTTTGTTTGGTGAATCATTGCTGGGAATTGGGCGTGGCTCTGGGCCTTTTTAGAACCAGGCAGAGTGAGACGTGAGGATCATTTGCACACTCAGTGTGGTCAATGTTAGCAGCAGCCTGTGGCTCTGAAGAAGTAGAATCACACGTGGTCCTGGAATCTGAGGTTTCCTGCAGCCCTCAGGAAGAGGGCACAGTATAGTAAGGAAGACCAGGATCATCCATGAACTCCACAGTGAGTTTCACTGGGCTGTTCCTCCTAAGAGTCCTCATGTAAAATACGATGTCCACTGAAAGTAATTTAGAACACAGTCTTAACTGGTGGAGAACCAAAATAGTGTTGTTCTGTGAACTCTTCCTCAGCTCTGGGTGGTATTTGGCGTTTGGAAGAGCTGTGATTCTTAACTGGTGGTTAGAAGGCCGTGCCAAAATTGTTACTGATTTGCTTTGAAATTTCACATCATCTTAAAGGTGGGCATGAGAGTCTTTATCACAGAGGGATTAAATATGTAAAGTAGCATTACCGGAGTAGCATGAATGAAGTGTATGTTCTTCAGGCCACCTTCAGAATCAGGATTGGCCAGGCGTGGTGGCTCACACCTGTAATCCCAGCACTTTGGGAGGGTGAGGTGGGAGGATCACTTGAGGCCAGGAGTTTGAGACCAGCCTGGCCATGATGGCGAAACCCCATTTGTACTAAAAATATAAAAATTAGTCTGGTGTGGTGGTGCATGCCTGTGGTCCCAGCAAGTTGGGAGGCTGAGGCACAAGAATTGCTAGAACCCCGGAGGCAGAGGTTGCAGTTAGCTGAGATCATGGCGTTGCACTTCAGCCCGGGCGACAGAGTGAGACTCTGTCTCAAAAAAAAAAAAAACAAAAAAAGGAATCAGGGTTTTCTCAGGTTTCTGGTAGGTATTGTGATGCGTTTGAGGTTATCTTCTCTGAAAAGGACTTGAAGTAGGGCTTCTCAGAATCACTGGTGAAGTATGGTGTCACCTGCCTTAACAGTCTGCTGAAGAAGGGAAGCATTAAAATCCTCCAGAAAAGATGAGCTGCCTAACCAGAACACATGCAGACATAGATGCCATCTTCACCCAGAAGGGGAACAAGGGAATCACCTCAGGAAGAGGTTTGGAATCTGTCTTGGCACACAGGCAAAGGAGTGATTAGGGTCCTGAGTGTCTATACTTGGCTATAGAAGGCAAGTTTTTTTGTTTTTTTTGTTTGTTTGTTTTTGGTTTTTTTTTTTGAGACGGAGTCTCGCTCTGTTGCCCAGGCTGGAGTGCAGTGGCGCGATCTCGGCTCACTGCAAGCTCTGCCTCCCAGGTTCACGCCACTCTCCTGCCTCAGCCTCCCGAGTAGCTGGGACTACAGGCGCCCACCACCACGCCCAGCTAATTTTTTTGTATTTTTAGTAGAGACGGGGTTTCACTGTGGTCTTGATCTCCTGACCTCATGATCCACCCGCCTCGGCCTCCCAAAGTGCTGGGATTACAGGCGTGAGCCACCGCGCCCGGCCTAGAAGGCAAGTTTTTAGGGATTTATATCCATATGCTTGTTTTGGACTCTAAAAAATTAAATGAGGCTGAGCACAGTTGCTCACACCTGAGACTGAGGCGGGCAGATCACTTTGCCCGGGAGTTCAAGACCAGCCTGGGTGACATGTTGAAATCCCATTTCTACAAAAATTCCCCAGATGTGGTGGCACATGCCTGTGATCTCAGCTACTTGGGAGGCTGAGGTGGGAGGATTGCTTGAGCCCAGGAGGTTGTGGCTTCAGTGAGCCGTGATTGAGCCACTGCACTCCAGCCTGGGCAACGGAGTGAGACCCTGACTCAAAAACATTTTTTTTAAGTTAAAAAAAAAATCAAATGATAGATTCAAGAAGCCAAGTGAAGCCCATTATGATTAACCCAAAGCAATCCATGCAAAGACACATCATAATTAAACTTCTGGAAACTCAACACAAAGAAAAAAATCTTGAGAGCAATCAGAGAAAAGGACAACTTACCTGTAGGGAAAAGACCGTAAGAATGATGGTAGATTTCTTTTTTTTTTTTTTTTTTTTTTTTTTTGAGACGAAGTCTCACTGTGTTGCCCAGGCTGGAGTGCAGTGGCGCTATCTTGGCTCACCGCAAGCTCCACCTTCCGGGTTCACGCCATTCTCCTGTCTCAGCCTTTCGAGTAGCTGGGACTACAGGCGCCTGCCACCACGCCTGGCTGATTTTTTTTGTATTTTTTAGTAGAGATGGGGTTTCACCTTGTTAGCCAGATGGTCTTGATCTCCTGACCTCGTGATCCGCCCACCTCGGGTTCCCAAAGTGCTGGGATTACA